GCTAGGCGTTTGGGACTAAAATTACCCATAATCTCAGATATAATACAAATTTATTGAGTCACTGATGGCAAAACTGTGTGTATCATGAGTATCATGTTGAAAATTATATATTGTGCCCATTCAATTGTAGTTCCCTTAGCCATGGATTACTATCCCTTTTTTACCCCATATGATGACCTGCATATCTACGTATACATGTGTATATTTGATTATATGTGATTATATATATATACACAGATATACAAGTGTTGGTTCTATACCTCCCCTACTGATTGCTTGCATCCACAAAAATACTGTTGGGTGTAACCCATATTTGTTGCTAGTAGATCCCCATGTCCTCTTAGGTACAGTACAACATCGTGGAATTAATTGGGTGTGTCTGAAAATTGGGTATACCCTTAAAAATCAGTTTATATAAATGTAAGAAACATGAACCATTGGATTTTGATTTTCAGACAAACACATTTGTGGATAAATATTCCTAAAATGTTGATGTATATATAAATATACACATACATACATACATACATACATACATTTGACATACATACATTTGACATACATACATACATACATACATACATACATTACATGAAATTACATCACATTACATTACATTACATTAAAAACATTACATTACATAACATTACATCACATTACAAAACATACATACATACATCCATTAAATTACATTACATTACATTACGTTACGTTACATTACATTACATTACACTACATTGCATTACATTACATTCATACATTCATACATTCATACATTCATACATTCATACATTCATACATTCATACATACATACATACATACACACCAATACACATCATTACATACCATTACATACCATTACATACCATTTCATATCATTACATACCATTACATACCATTACATACCATTACATACCATGACATACCATCACATACCATCACACACCACCACATACCATCACATACCACTACATACCATTACATACCATTACATACCATTACATACCATCACATACCATCACATACCATCACATACCATCACATACCATTACGTACCATTACATACCATTACATACCATTACATACCATTACATACCATCACATACCATCACATACCATCACATACCATCACATACCATCACATACCATCACATACCATCACATACCATCACATACCATCACATACCATTACATACCATTACATACCATTACATACCATTACATACCATTACATTCCATTACATACCATTACATACCATTACATACCATTACATACCATTACATACCATTACATACCATTACATACCATTACATACCATTACATACCATTACATACCATTACATTACATTACAATACATGACATTACATTACATTAATGTTGAGTCCTGATTAGCACCTAGGGTCGCTATTGTGGCAAATTTTTCCAAATTATTCTGAAACTCATGTATTGTTTGGAGGGTTCGCTTTTGTGGCAAAACAAAATTGGGAGAGCCCTTTTTTTGCAAAAAAACTGTAATTGCTGAGAGGCATTCTTTTCTCAAAAACGCTGTAGCTCAGTCAAGGTAGGTTTGTTTGCTGGGTCCACTATTGCAGCAAGCTGTGCCAGAGCAGCTCCTGGAAGCCCAGAAGGGAAGCAAACCTTTCCCAAAATTGCCAAATTCAAACTCCAAGCCTTTCCCAAAAGAACCAATCCCTTATTAAACCCTTATTAAAGAACAGCTTTTCCACAATTTTCCAAGGCCCTGGACCAGGAGAGGCTTCATTTCACTTTAGTAGGTTTGTTTGCTGGGTTCACTATTGCAGCAAGCTGTGCCAGAGCAGCTCCTGGAAGCCCAGAAGAGAAGCAAGCCTTTTCCAAAGGCAATTGCCAAATTCAAACTCCAAGCCTTTCCCAAAGGAGCCAATCCCTTATTAAACCCTTATTAAAGAACAGCTTTTCCACAATTTTCCAAGGCCCTGGACCAGGAGAGGCTCCATTTCACTTTAGTAGGTTTGTTTGCTGGGTTCACTATTGCAGCAAGCTGTGCCAGAGCAGCCCCTGGAAGCCCAGAAGAGAAGCAAGCCTTTTCCAAAGCAATTGCCAAATTCAAACCCCAAGCCTTTCCCAAAAGAACCAATCCCTTATTAAACCCTTATTAAAGAACAGCTTTTCCACAATTTTCCAAGGCCCTGGACCAGGAGAGGCTCCATTTCACTTTAGTAGGTTTGTTTGCTGGGTTCACTATTGCAGCAAGCTGTGCCAGAGCAGCCCCTGGAAGCCCAGAAGAGAAGCAAGCCTTTTCCAAAGGCAATTGCCAAATTCAAACTCCAAGCCTTTCCCAAAGGAGCCAATCCCTTATTAAACCCTTATTAAAGAACAGCTTTTCCACAATTTTCCAAGGCCCTGGGCCAGGAGAGGCTCCATTTCACTTTAGTAGGTTTGTTTGCTGGGTTCACTATTGCAGCAAGCTGTGCCAGAGCAGCCCCTGGAAGCCCAGAAGAGAAGCAAGCCTTTTCCAAAGCAATTGCCAAATTCAAACTCCAAGCCTTTCCCAAAGGAGCCAATCCCTTATTAAACCCTTATTAAAGAACAGCTTTTCCACAATTTTCCAAGGCCCTGGAACAGGAGAGGCTCCATTTCACTTTAGTAGGTTTGTTTGCTGGGTTCACTATTGCAGCAAGCTGTGCCAGAGCAGCCCCTGGAAGCCCAGAAGGGAAGCAAGCCTTTTCCAAAGGCAATTGCCAAATTCAAACTCCAAGCCTTTCCCAAAGGAACCAATCCCTTATTAAACCCTTATTAAAGAACAGCTTTTCCACAATTTTCCAAGGCCCTGGACCAGGAGAGGCTCCATTTCACTTTAGTAGGTTTGTTTGCTGGGTTCACTATTGCAGCAAGCTGTGCCAGAGCAGCCCCTGGAAGCCCAGAAGGGAAGCAAGCCTTTTCCAAAGGCAATTGCCAAATTCAAACTCCAAGCCTTTCCCAAAAGAACCAATCCCTTATTAAACCCTTATTAAAGAACAGCTTTTCCACAATTTTCCAAGGCCCTGGACCAGGAGAGGCTCCATTTCACTTTAGTAGGTTTGTTTGCTGGGTTCACTATTGCAGCAAGCTGTGCCAGAGCAGCCCCTGGAAGCCCAGAAGGGAAGCAAGCCTGTTCCAAAATTGCCAAATTCAAACTCCAAGCCTTTCCCAAAGGATATTAAACCCTTATTAAAGAACAGCTTTTCCACAAGTACTACAAGTACTACAAGTACTGCAAGCACTACAAGTACTACAAGTACTACAAGTACTACAAGTACTGCAAGTACTACAAGTACTACATGTACTACAAGTACTACAAGTACTACAAGTACCACAAGTACGACAAGTACTACAAGTACTACAAGTACTACAAGTACTACAGGTACTACAAGTACTACACGTACTACAAGTACTACAAGTACTACAAGTACTACAATTACTACAAGTACTACAAGTACTACAAGTACTGCAAGTACTACAAGTACTACAAGTACTACAAGTACTACAAGTACTACAAGTACTACAAGTACTACAAGTACTACAAGTACTACAAGTACTACAAGTACTACAAGTACTACAATTACTACAAGTACTACAAGTACTACACGTACTACAAGTACTACAAGTACTACAAATACCACAACTTCATCGGCAAAAAAAACAATAGTAATTAGATTTCAATTGTAGCCAATTGAAATCCTTACTTAATTGAGGATATGTTTTTCTTTTGGGAAGAAAATTTTTGACTTTCTACTTTAAAGAGAGTCCAGAAATAGTTTGGGGGGGGCCACACACTAATCAGGACGCAACAATACAGATATATATATATATGCTTACAAACATACATATTTGCAGAAATACCTATAATATATTTGATATATTTATATATATATGTATCGCTAGGGGGCTGACGTTTGCCCGAAATCCACGGAATTCCACGCAATCTGCTGTGTTGTTTCCGTGCGTGTTTTTCGCACACTGCGAGCATGCAAAATATTGATATTACCTTCGTCTAAAGCATGTTTGCGCTTACCTAAGACGGTGCCAAAATGAAGACTGAAGTGGAATCAAACACCAAAAGAAAATTGCAAAGAGGACCCAGTGTCATCGCTGAGGTGAGCTTCTTACAGTCGACATTTTGCCGTGAGAATGAATTGCAGGAGAACCCTGACAGGGCCCCATGCAGATCGGACTCAGGATCCTTCTTCTCATCTGCCCTGGAGTACTGCTGGCCCAGGGTGCACTTGCCAACGGCAGCGGCACCGGGGGGTCCCTTATTTATATATATTTGCCCCATAATCGTGCGATCACCCCGCCTGATGTGCCAATGAAGCAACGACGTGCACAGCTGTGTCCTTGGGCCGCAGAAGGAGCGGCCGCATCCTGCTGCTGCTGCTGATGCTTTTTGCCTTTGGCTGCTTTCACTTTTGCTGCTGCTTTGGTGGACACAGCATGTTCCATGGCCGTCACTGCCAAGTGCCACCACATCGTCAAAGCAGCAGAAGCCTTCCACCTTTTGAAGGTATCTCAAAGATATCCCCCGCAATTTGCAGTCTTTGGAGCCGCGAACTGAGACCTCAACAGACCGCAAGAGTTTGAAAGAACATTAAAATAACCTAACCCTAAATAAACCCTAAACAAATCCCAAACAAACCCTAAATCAACCATAAGTAACCCTAAATAGACCCTAAAACAACCGTGAGCAAACCCTAAAACAACCCTAAATAATACGAAAGTTAACTAAACAAACCCTAAAGAAAATCTAAACCAACCCTAAGCAAACCCTAAAACAATCTGAAATATATCATGAACAAATCACAACATAACTAAACCCCCAATGAAACTTTGGGCGAACGTCCGCCCAGGAGGGATATATATATATATGCAAATGTGGTTTCCTATGTATTCCCATACCGGTATCGGTATATGAGCATCCTATTACTGATTATGGTTGCCGTGTTCTTTGGCACCACTGTGTCCCATCCCTTGTGCCACACCTCGAGTGGCCACCAGAGTGACGGGTTCTGGGCACAGGGATGGGCAACAAGGTGAGGGGCTTGGAAACCATGGGATTTTCCATGGGAAAAGGGTGATTTTTTACCAACAAAAATGGAAATGTTGTGGGAATTATAGCTAATGTATGATGATAGCTAAATCGACGCATTTGCTTAACGTTTGGGTTGATTCGGGGGATATAACTATAGTTAATGGGGTTGGTTTACCAGAATACCATTTGCAACTGGGGGTTTCACCCTGTAGAGTGTTTCAACCACCAGAAGTGAACATTTAAAAACTTACCACAAACCATCAGGTAATTTAGAGCAAAAAAATGAAAACAATTGAGTGAGATAACTCAGATCACCAACAGCACTGGGGGATGAAACACCAAAAAATGATACAACCCGTCACTTCCACCGACATATCTGAGCTGCAAAATTGTGCGGTCTGTGGGCACCCATGTCATCCCTGGGGTTGCATACCTGTACTGGTGTACCGTGCAAAACAACACAATGCCCAGCTGACTAATATAAAGAAAGGTATGTGCCTATGTTTATATATATATACACCACCAACTCATTTCACACGGTTTCACGATTAATTTCCCATTCAAAGTGTGCCCAGGACATAACAAAGGATGATCCACCACACCACGAATTTCAACATGTCCTGGAATTTTCAACCAACGGTCGTCGGGGCGGCATTGTAATTAGTTATAATAATCGTCCGGCCCAGAGTTTTCAGGCGCCTATGAAATGTTAGAGAAACATCTGGCATGCAAAACAAATAAGCATCCCACTTTTTGGTGTTTTTGCACTTGCAACTGTAATTACAATATGTATAGGTAGTCATGTACGTATCATCTTGCAATGTGCACGCCAGCACACACACATACACACAGTTGTTGAGTTTGACAAAAAACGTACGAATAAATAAATGATTCTGCTTTCTGGGTTCCATGCGAGTTTCCGGAGGGCGTCATCAAATGATTTTCTCATGCCCGTCGTGAATGTCATTTCCGGACTGCCTGTAGACCCCCATGTTTGGAGGTGATGAATTTATGCTGATGCTGGTTCAGCCGTCACGAAAAATCTGACCATTATGGATGAAATACTTTAAGGCAACGGGTTCTCCCATTGCCAGTTTGGCTCAACAAAAGTACAACCTTTTGGAACCTTTAACTTCATTTTTTTGCTCTTGATATTGTCGTGTTCAACCATGAACAACGTGAATGAGGAACACAAGTTGGTTGATTTGCTGAGCTACTCTTGATTGGCTTTGGGCGTTCAACATTGGTATCCAAAAGCAATGACCAACCCTTGGCTCCAAATTGCCTTCACAACCATGACACATGCCAATTTCAGTTGGTCTAACCATCGTCTTCGCGTGGACGGCCCAATCTTCAACTAGTTCAGCCCGATCACTTTTCAAGTTGCCCTAATTTTTACCTTAGTGTGAAATCACCAAACCAGTGAAGGAATTTTGTCACTTTGTCGAAGAGATAAAGCCACATGGCTCTGTCCCTGTCGAAAAAGCACTGTAAATTGGTTTTCCCATGAAAACTTACATTGCACCTAAGTCAATACGGTGCACATTGTGTGTGTGTCCACCAGGCGCACTTCTAAAGTAGGAGATAGCGCTATTTTTTGGACACCGGGGCACACCAGCATTTTTGGTGGGAAAATCGGCATTTACACTTCCTTCAACTCGGGCCTGTCGGAGTGAAGCTACTGACGGTTGCAGCGTGCCAGTCTCCTGGCGCCAATTTATTGGAATGGAAAACCGAAAAAGTGGCAAAGAGGTCTGCCAAGAAAGGGAGGAGGATACAGGCGCCAGGTGGGCGCATGGTGGGCTCAACAGCTGGCGAACAAGCGCGGGTGAACAAATGCAGTCAAACAAACGCAGTGTGCACGGGCTTGTTCAAGGGGTTGCCTAGCAACAGTTTGGTTTCCTATATAGCTGAACGGGCCTGTTAGCCCACCTAGATCTGGCAAGGGCCCATTGCTGCGCATGTTTCACAGATTTGGCTGGGAGCTGGGATGCTGTTGCTAAAGAAACAACATGTCACAGCATTTTTCTGCTGCATATTGGTGTGTGCAGGAACCGCATGGTACGAGTATGTTGCGGAGGGAAAGTTCAAAGAAAAGGTAACATTGAAATAACATGATATAGTACAAGATTAGGGGTACCGCATTACGGATGGAAAACCATCAGGCTCTCAGCATTGTGAGAGTTTCATTGCAACCGCTAGTATACCCTGTGGTAATTTAATTTGGATGGCACTTGAAGCAAGGTGAGTTTGTAGTTTTATCACCACTGTTCCCCATTGAAGTTGCCGTTAATTTGGGGGCAAGTCCCCCATTTGCAAACAATTCCATCTTGCTTAATTCATCTGGATTAGAGAAAAATAAGTATTCACCAGCCTCAAGTGCCCCAATCCTAACCACCATCTTCCAATGGGTCGCTATAATTCGTCCAGATTATATAGTTGCTTGTATCTCCCCCTACATTCAACACAATACCCTAATAACGGTTGGTTCAATTCCCTATTTTTCTCGCTGAAATCCCGCTATGGCAGGTTAAACTCCCGCATAATTCGCTCATTTTTGGCTGAACAAAGCTACCCCGCCAAGATGCTAGTGGCCCTGAAGTCAAACGAAAAAACACTTACGGTGTTTGTTTAAAATGTTTTTTTTCCGGCAAGAGACCCCAAACAGTGTTGTAAGGACGATGAAGAAGCGATATTGAGATACAAGGTTAGAGCGGCCGCAAAATCATCAGTGGCTGCAAGCTAGCAAGCTAGCAGGAGAAGAGCCCTAGTAATAAAAGAGTGGTGTTCATTCAAGGTGGTGTTTGGAAGAAGAGATACCAGGTTAGATTCTGAAAGTTCCCTCTGTGAAGATCTCTACAGAAGATCGTGCGCAAGATCTCCTTGACAGGTTCTGTGTAGAAGCTGCTGTGCGAGATCCCTTTGCAAGGCTATCTGTACAAGGTGTCTGTAAGAATCTCCACAGAAGATCTCTGTAAGGGATCTCAAAGTAAGATCTCTTTCAAGCTCTGGCAAAAGATCTCTGATCTCTTCACCAGGTCTCTGTACAAGATCCCTATAAGAGGTCTCTTGGCAAGATCTCTTCATGAGATCTCTGTACAAGCTCTCTATAAAGAGACCTCTTGGCAAGATCTCTGCAACAGATCTCTATGCAATGTCTCTGTACAAGATCTCCAGAAGAGGTGCCCTGGCAAGATCTCTATACAAGATCTCTAGAAGAGGTCTCTGCGCACGATGAGATCTCCGTAAAAGCTGTCCAGAAGAGCTCTCTTGGCAAGATCTCTATAAGGGGCCTCTTGGCAAGATCTCAACAGGTCTCTATGCAATGTCGCTGTACAAGACCTGTTTATGAAATCTCTGCGCGAGCTCTCTATAATCTCTCTTGGCAAGATTTATGTAAGAGACCTCTTGGCAGGATCTCCGCAACAGATCTCTACGCAATGTCTCTGCACAAGATCTCCAAAAGAGGTGTCCTGGCAAGATCTCTGCACAACATCTCTATAAGAGGTCTCTTGGCAATACTCAATACTCTTGAAGAGATCTCCGTACAAGCTCTCTATAAAAGCTCTGTTGGCAAGATCTCTGTAAGAGACTCTTGGCAAAATCTCTGTACAAGATCTCTATAAGAGCTATCTGCACAAGATCTCCAAAAGAGCTCCCGGTACAGGCCTCTGTGCAAGCTCCCCATAAAAGGCATCCTTGTCAAGATCTCTGCGCAAGATCTCCTTGGCCATCAAAATGAGCACCGCTGCACAACGCGAACGATGTTACACGCCCAAACTGCCGAGAAGATTGCGCGAGGGATCTCAGAATTGGCACTGCGACACAACGAGAGCGATCTGACAGGCCGAAAGAGACAAGAGGGTTGCGCGATCCATCTCAAAATTGGCACCGCGCCACAACGAGAGCGATCTGACAGGCCCAAAGTGACGAGAGGGCTGCGCGAGCGATCTCAAAATTCGAGAAGTGCCACAACGAGAGCGATCCGACACGCAAAAAGTGACAAGAGGGTTGCACGATTTCCCCATTTGGATGTATATATATATATATTGGATATAACATGGTATATACCAAACGTATTAATAACGATGATTTCCCCATTTGGTATACGTGACTTTTTTTGGTTCGCCCACCGGGATGAACTGGGTGAACTCACCGATCCCATGACGGATCCATGGTGCTGCTATATATGGTGTGCCATGGATCCCATCAATATACCCCAGTCATGTTAGCATATATACCAGCACCATGGATCCTATGGCTATATATATATATATGTATTGCTTGGTGGTTAAAAAAAACATCTTGAAAAATGTGAGTTAGTGAAAGTCAGTTGGGATGATGTCATTCCCAACTGAATGGGAAAATAAAAAATGTTCCAAACCACCAACCAAACAGGCGTGTCTGTACTCTATATATGTATATAAGCATAAACTAATGGTGTTGCTTTGTTTGAAAATAAGGGAACCACAATTCCAATGCTTTATCATCAATTCCACTACTTCAGGAGCCTTGATCTGGGGTAAATCCAAAGTTTTCAAAAGCACCCACATAGGGTATATCCCATGTATTGCGATTTCAATCCTCAATCTCATGGGTCAGAATCCCAAGTGTGTTGCTTAACATACGTTGACATACCACACTTCTGTCAAATATTGTTGTTTTCCAGGCATAAATAGTAACCCCAAAAAAAAGATAGAAAAGTGTTTCCAAGATGTTATAAATGATATTTACCTCGTATGTTCAGGTTTCAAACATGTCTATCTATTTTGGGGTTGCTATACTTATCAAAATCTATTGGATCTATTTCGCCACAACATGTTGGTATGCGAGGATCTAGTTACATCCACAGGTACCGTACCTGTCTGAGACTACAGTCAACTTGGAGGGATTGGACATGCAGATTGAAATTACAGTAATCCTTCCCCGAAAAATATGAAACACCCCACAGAAACTGTGGTTTAGTAGGGGAATCACACATATCTGGAACCATTTTTTTTGTGGGGGATGGGATTCGTAACTTCCACATAGAAAGAAAGCGTGGGAAACGACATCCAGCCGGGTTGTTGACCCCGTCACCAAAACAGGTCCTCTAGCGACTGGCACAATAGGTACCTGGTATCCAGGTAAAGAGTATGGATTCAACCGGGGAAAAGAAAGAAAAATTGGTGGCTTCATATAATAATGATGGGATTATATAATGGGATTATAATGGAATAATCATCAATAATGGGATTATATAATAATAGTGGTTATATGGTTTTAATACCAATAATATCTGGTTGGTGGTATAATAATGGTTAATATATGGTTACTCTATGGTTAATCTATGGTTATGATGATGGTTAATGATGGCTAATAATAATCTGGTTGGTGGTTTTGAGCAAAACCCCTCTGAAAAATGATGGAGTTCGTCAGTTGAGATGATGAAATTCCCAATATATGGAAACATAATCCAAATGTTCCAAACCACCAACCAGTGATTATTCCATCATCTCCCTCTCAGTGGACACCACTTGAAAACAGGAACTGAGCCAACTGACGTGTTCTGGTGAGGTGATGTATGAACAGCATCAACCAGCAAGAAGTGATGTATTCCACCAAAGTGGAATTCACCGGAAGAACGCCAACAAAGTTGGAAAGTTCCCGAGAGAGTCTGGTTATCATGAGAGTATCACATAATATACAACACAACAAAAAGTGAGGAGTTCCCAAAAATGAAACTGTAAGCAACAACGACCTATAGGAACATGTGATCAAATGATCAAAAGCGGGACGAAGCACCAAGAAACATGTCTCTCGTCAGCTTGTTTGTGGTAGACAATGCTTATCTTAGATACCCTCTATTTTTTAAGTTTAGCTGATTAGTGTGTATTTATATATGTACCATTATATCTCCATCCATAGCCACATATCAAATTGTAATCCCTTCCCTTTAATTTCATATGACATACGCTCCATATGGCTCCCAAAAATGACTAGATTCAATACTAAATCGGGGTTTCGCAAAAACTAGAGGGTATTTCGTATAATGGGGAACGGATTCCCCACTCCTGGCTCAGCAAATTCATAAATCCAAATGGCTACGGATCAAGACTGGCTACAGTGCTCCAATCATTGGATGGTTCATATCATAAATAGGGTCAAAAAACTGTGGTTTAGCAGTTTAGCAGGCCTTAATTTTTGACTCATACCTAAATGTCAAATCAACATGTTTGGATATAGAGTAGTTATTTCTAACACGTTCAATTCCTCTATTGCTTGGATGACATGTTAGATACATGTTTGACCCATACCCAATTTTTTGGAGATTTATGCAGGTTCAACGGCTACTTCAACCATGGTAAGATTCCGGGTTCCAGCTGATTTAACCAACATGTGTTTCAATTAAACTCCATAAACCATCCATCCCCAAGTCATCACCATGTTGATGGCCAGGGATTTCAAGCATCCACAGTCATGCTTTAGTTGCTTGTGGCAGCCAGGTTTTTCCATATTAAATCATTATAATTCATTCATATTCTATTAAATCACCCATGCAATCTCCATATTTGTCAGTTATATCCCCAACTAAACCAGTAAATCACCATTCTCACCATATTTTCGGTGCTGATTTTCCGGTTTTTTTGTTCAACATCCCGGCTTCCTCGCACAACCGCCACAACCGCGCGGCGCACCGGCGGGGGGGCATCATCTGTCCAGCGGTGTCCTGCGAAGGGGAAGGAAACCAAGCAATGTTCGTAAAGCAATTATCTTCCCATAAAAATGATGGCCAATGATGGTTAATAATGGTGATTAATCATTAGTTTATGCTTACATTCTGTATATATATATATATATACGTATATATATATGTATGTGTATATATATATATAGATATAGATATGTATATGTATATATAGTACAGACATGCCTCTCTGGTTGGTGGTTTGGAACCTGGCTTTTATTTTCCACAATATATGGAATAATAATCCCAACTGACAATAATGGTTGATAATGGTGGTTAATGATGGTTAATGATGGTTAATAATGGTTGATATAATGATTAATGATTGTTATACTAATAATAGTTAGTTTCCATTAATAGTGGCTGATAATGGGTGAATACTGTGGTGGTTGATAATGGGGGATATATACTCTGGTACTAACAGTTTGCAAACTGGAAAATGGCATCTTTAGTGCGTTGATTTACCTAAGGGTGGTGATTTTCTGCTATGTTAGTTTACCAGGTAAATAACTGGTAATAACAAGTTATACCACAACTCACCATTAATAGTGTTCAAGGTTGTTGATATTATTTTCATAACCCATATTTCACTAACGATTACCACTAGTTAACTAACAATGGGAAAACAGTTAACAATTAATGGTTGATATGCTTAAATCAATACTTCCCTATTTTCCCATTAACAATATGAGTAGTTCCCACTAATGTGGGTAAAACAATAATTCACCATCCCCCGGTCATCACCATAAATAGGTGGTATGGTTACCATTCCGAAATGGGTGGTTTATGACATTGTTTTACCCACATTAATGTGTGTAAAGCAATGTCATAAACCACCCACATATGTTGATGCTTTGTGCCGACAATTTCTGACGATTTTCGGGATGGTTGACTACAATGATAATATTTGTGGGATAATATATGGAAAATCAAAATTGGATAATAATAAAGACAGCATATAATAAGTGATAATATTTGACAAACCTGAAATCAATAAGACCATTGAGGGAAAATTATAATGAGGAATTGAATGGCATAATTATGGCCATGAGTCAAGAGGCAACCTAGGTGCCCTGAAATAGCTGGTTAATGGATGCTTATTCCCCCAAATATAGTAATTATAGGTTTTGATCCATTCCTCTATTTGGATAGATTATGGGACAATATGGTAATATGATAATTATGGGAATTGCGATTTGATTAATGTAGTAAAGCACTGTCCTAAACCAGCCATATTTTGATGGTCTTTACCACCCACTTATGGTAAAATTCAGAATGGTCTACTGTATGCTATGGCTTCACTAGCATTATGCGATAATTATATAAAGGAATGTACTGGCATAATTATGGGATAATATCTGGATAATAATCATGGATAGTTTACTGTAATAATTTATATAATGAAAAAACGCAAGCCTAAAATAAGACCATTGAGGAATAATTATAAAAATTGAACGGCGTAATTGTGGCACGAAGGTTGTTTTTCTTATTGATCTTGCCAGTAGAACTTCTAAGATAACAAGCTAGCATCCATCATGTCTGGATATGTTTGGAATATATTATGACCATTCTAGTGTGATTATGGGATACCCTGTGGTTGCTCTATTTAACATAGCGAACTGGAAAATCAGCATTTTATAGTGAATCATAATTTTGGTGTTCCATAGCTATGTCAAGTAATAATCAAAGGTAATAGCTTGATGTATTCTAATGGTTCGCAAGCCTGAAACAAGAGCATTTGGGGATAGTAACCCATTAGCAATCATCATTTCAGTGAGGAACCATGGGGTCTAGTAACCCCCCAAAAAGATAGTAAAGGTTAAGTTTATCATTAATTTAGTGAGGTTTATCGAACTTCTATCTTTGTTGGGGATTACTAGAATACGATCAGTTATGGGATAATGTGATAAATTATGGGATAGACATTTTCCGGTATATATCCGTGCTGTCATGTAAAACGATGAGGATATTTTGGGTGATGAACCAATGGTAATATGGTGAATTATGGGATAATATGGCAATATGATGATAATTATGGGGTAGGTAAATTGTGAGATAATTTGTTTCTGGGCTCACAGTGCCATGTCATGTACGATATTTTTTTCTATGGGGGATCAAACAACCCCAAGTCTCAACCATTGTTACCCTTTGGTAAACTAACATAGCTATGGAAAATCACCATCTTTACTAGGTAAATCAACTATAAATGTGCTATATTCAATAGCTATGTTAAATCACCAGAGGGTAAACATCATAATGTGATATTCTCCGCCACCCAGCTCTGGATACTTAGCACCACATGATGCAACCAGTTCATGGTGATTTCACTTGCCACTCGGGCGGGTTTAAACATCTACCCCCAAAAAAATACACTAAAAAGGTAAAAAAAAATATGTGGTAAACCCGGTCTAATCATCCATCCCTAAAACCATCAATAGGTGGTATAAACCATCCCCAGCCATGGTAGTTTTATGGCGCTTGCCGACTTTGCTACACTTGCGGTTTCATCATCACATGATCAGCCTACGTGTTGATAGTTTGCTTTTGAAAGTATCATTTTAGGTGTATCAAACTTGATTTTCCCACATTAGGTGCATTGAAAGTAGCATGTTATGATATTTTAGGCGTATAACGTATATCCCATAATAAACTCAAATGGGGGATATGATAGATGACTTCAACGCATCCAACTTGTCCAGAATGGAAATCAGATGTGTTCCCAGTAGCGAAATCTCAAGATCTGCAGTTCTTCGATGCGAGCTTGAAATTGAGACACGTCAACGGTGTTTGATTGTACCCTCTGGTTATGTCAAAATAGCTATTGAAAATGACCATTAATAGTGGATTTTCCCATTAACAATGGTGATTTTCAATAGCTATTTTGACATAACCAGAGGGTAGTTGTATTGCGCACACGTTCAACTGCGGACCAAACTGTCCCATCACGGAAATCGCCACACTTCTCTGCCGTGATCATCAGCTTCATAGCCAGGATTTTCTGTCTGGACGCAACATATTCACAGCTCGGATTTGGTTACATTCACTGTAGCTGGTATAATCCCAACCAAATTGGGTTTTTTCGTGCAGATCGGGACACAGTTGAGCAGACAAATAGCATAAAGATTTCTGTTGCTGAGGATGCCACAGCATGAATTGGGTCCTTTGAGCATCAGTAGCTTTCCACCAGCTATGGCCCATATGGCCCATATGGCCCAACCGATCGCAGACAGCGCCCAAGTCATCATCCATGAAGCCATGGGTTTTCCATGTTTTTCCCATATGGCCAGACCGCTCAATGGTGAACCCCACGAGACGTATCACCGGACTCCCGGACGCCCGGACTCCTTTCTTCTTCGACGCCAAAGATTTGATCATGTCCTGCTGCGGTTGGCGGGCCGTGAATTGGAGTCATCTGGGTGAAGTCACTCCCCATGAAAATCAATGGATTGGTTTCAGGGAAAAATTTTCCACCGGAAAGCCCCATGATCTTCATTGGAAAAGATGAAAAATGGGAAAATCGATGGTGAACCCGATTTTCCCCGGTGAAAACCGATCCATCTGGGTGATTTCATGGGATTCCAACCACTAGATGCTGGTGAAATCCATTGGAACCAGTGTTGCGACATCCTTTGTGTTTGCATATTGCCACAACTGTTGTGGCAATACATCTTGAACTGGGTACCCTCTGGTAATTTAACATAGCTATTGAAAATGGTGATTTATAGTGGATTTTCCCATTAAAAATGGTGATTTTCCATAGTTATGTTAGTTTACCAGAGGGTAAATTTAATCATATGGGTTTGACTGAAAATAGTGTACCCCTGAACCCAATGGTTTTAATGATCATCATCCCGTTTTTAAATGGCTATAATTGGAGGTATACCTCATTTTCAGACAAACCCATATTTCACCAACCTGAATTGTTCGGCCATCTGGGATGATTTCCCGAATCCTAACTATGATTCCCAGTGAGGGAGAACAGTGAGGCCGTGATGAAATTTACCCAGATGATCATCTATTATCATCTATTATCATCTATTATCATCTATTATCATCTATTATCATCTATTATCATCTATTATCATCTATTATCATCTATTATCATCTATTATCATCTATTATCATCTATTGTCATCTATTATCATCTATTATCATCTATTATCATCTATTATCATCTATTATCATCTATTATCATCTATTATCATCTATTATCATCTATTATCATCTATTATCATCTATTATCATCTATTATCATTTATTATCATCTATTATCATTTATTATCATCTATTGTCATCTATTATCATCTATTATCATCTATTATCATCTATTATCATCTATTATCATCTATTATCATCTATTATCATCTATTATCATCTATTATCATCTATTATCATCTATTATCATCTATTATCATCTATTGTCATCTATTATCATCTATTATCATCTATTATCATCTATTATCATCTATTATCATCTATTATCATCTATTATCATCTATTATCATCTATTATCATCTATTATCATCTATTATCATCTATTATCATCTATTATCATTTATTATCATCTATTATCATCTATTATCATCTATTATCATCTATTATCATCTATTATCATCTATTATCATCTACTATCATCTATTATCATCTATTGTCATCTATTATCCCATGATTGGCTATATCCCATGATTGGCTGTTGTGGCACTACATATTGTGTTTGCCAATTCTTCCTGTGCCATCTTGGCCGTTTTTCGGCCAAGAAGGTCGAAAATCCCTCTGGGAAAATGATCTGCCGGTGGGTGGAAACCATATGTCAATGTACCTTGTGGGATTCTGGAGCGTAAAAGCATGCTATTAACATTGCCAATCTTAGATACCCTGCAAAAAATGACAAATTCTTTGCTGGTGAACGTAGATATTCCCATTAATGCCAAAAGACTAGTTAGGATTAAAGTATCCATGTAAGATTGACCTAGTTAATAGGTTCATCTACTATTTCGACTGGGCCATTTTCAATAGATATGTTAGTCATTACCAGAGGCTATTTCAACCTAAGATGATTCAGCCAAACATCGATCTGTTTTAGGAATTGGTCCGTTATTTGCTAGGAAATGGGGGATGTAGTAGACAATATTAATATAATTTTGTAAGATCTATGATAGATATATGATGTTAACTAGGGGTTATGGTAGATATATCATGATATATCTTGGCTGAATCATGCTAGGTTGAAATAGATACCATCTGATTATTTAACATAGCCATGGAAAATCACCATGTTTAATAGGTAGACCATCTATAAATGGGCCATTTTCCATGGCTATGTTAAATAACCAGAGGGTAGATATATCGTTGGATGTTATAAACCAACTTACTTATCATGCGGGATAGCAAGTCATCACTCTGGATGAATCAACCCTGGCTGATGTTGCTACGAAATCCTCATAGTTTTTTGGCTGTAGAAAAAAACACACCATGTTTGCTGGTTAAAGCACAAGTTGGGTTGCTCAAGTGGCTTGAGTCTTCATGTTTGTTGCTGAATTTCCGGTATTTTTGGCTTACTGGTGCTAAACGCATGGAATTTTCGGGAATGATCCACTGGCTAACTATCAATAATCATCCCAGCAACCCCCAAGCCATCCATTCCCATCCATTTCCAGGCGCCGTGAACTGTTCTTCGCAGACCTGGATGTGGATCTCATTTCCGGAGATATAGGCGCGGATGCGCTTCTCATCATTCTCCTCAGATGTTCAAATGCGATGCAGAAACCATCAGAAATGCTGGCTTTTGACCAGTAGATCCATCAGAAATGCTGGCTTTTGACCAGTAGATCGAGAAAAATTGCTATTCAGCTATTCAACCAGCGAGATTTATGGAGATTTGCTATGGATTTATGGGATCCATCCAGCATCAAACATGGTCTAATTTTTCCCATGAATTTCTTGTTGGATAAAACTGATCAGGATTCAGCGATAAGTGGAGTTGTCCGTTGGTCATGGTTTCTCCAACAATGGTGATCAACATGACGCATTTTATGGATTTTTATGGCACTTCATTGAAACAATGATCATAAAATATCACCAGTTTTGTTCTTTTGGTGCCATCTCACCAAGCTGAAGCCGGAAGCAGTACATCATTGGTGATGGCACCAGCTTTTTTGGGGGGTTTGATTCTCAGTACATGGATGAAAACCTTTGAAATTGAAACTCAGAATACACATAACTTAGTATCCATCAACTACCCTCTGGTAATTTAACGTAGCTATTGAAAATGGCAATTTATAGTGAGTTTTCCCATTAAAAATGGTGATTTTCTATAGTTATGTTAGTTTACCAGAGGGTATCCACATATCCATCCAATGATATCCAATGTAATTGGGTTCCATAGATATCTGTTGGTGGAGCTTACTGCGGGTTTTGTGACATCTTGGCGAAATCCCTGAAATCCGACCCAGATGTGGCTAAGGGGCCCATTGCCTTGGAAACCTGGCTGTTGTGAGTATGGAATATCCCATACCCATGACGGATCCATGGTGCTATATATGGTGTGCCATGGATCCCATCAATATACCCCCTTTATGTTTGCATATATACCAGCACCATGGATCCGTCATGGGATATACCATCTGGCTAATTAACATAGCGAACTGGAAAATGGATGAAAATGGTCCATGAATATAGAGGCTAAACATGATGATTTACCTATCCAAAATGGGTGGATTTTCCAGTTCGCTACGTTAGTCATAACCAGCTACGGTACCCATTGATGCTGAGGTCAGCTACATCAGCTACATCAGCTTGATGAAATTCAGTGTTCATTGGTAAACTCCTGAGAAACTGACAGGTAAATCCACCGTTTTAACCATAATTCAATTAATTCCCATTTTACTTGTTTCATATAAAATCCGGTAGAATCCCAACGTTTCATGTTTCAGATCATCATAAACCCATCATAAATCATCATAAATATTATGGATGCGATATGATGCGATGATGCAATATATCTGGGCAAATTATAGTAATTCACTGACCTGAAATAAGGCCATTTTGGGATGAGTCCTCTTATTTTTTTCATGATTCCAGGGCTCGGGAGATCAGTGAGGTCGTGATAATTTGGTTAGATATATTGGGGATACAGTGGTATATTCATGAGTTATAACCATTGATCATCCATTATTGTTGGTTCTAGCCCAATTGCCCTCTGGTAAACTAACATTGCTATTGAAAGTGGCCATTTATAGTGGATTTACCCATTAATAGCATGGTGATTTTCCATAGTTATGTAAAACATTTGCATGTTTACCTAGAAGCCAACTCACAGCTGTCAAGGTGAACAGTGAACACTGCAACATTCTCAAATGAATGGCTCATGGCATGGCTTGGCATGGCTTGGCGTGGCATGTTGAATAGATTAATTGCACCCGTGCCCTCATGACTCATGATCTCATCAGCGGAGATTAGGAATCAGGACATGTGATGTGACACAGTCACACAGTTCAACTAAATCAGTTTGCACAGCGATAAAGAAATGGCGCAATAATCTTTCATGAGCAAAGACAAAAAATCTTCTCCTTCAAGGACCCCTCCGAGCGCTGCAGGGACCTCGCACCAAACGTGGTCGCGGGTCCCGTTTGGGATCCTGCAAAGCTCGGAGCCAAGCGCCCTTGACCTGTGTGGTGGTCATGCAATCCGCGGTCGCTTGTCGCTTGTCGCATGGCGCAGCCAATGAAGTCGACTGCAACCTTTCCTACTGTTGTCTTCTCTCCACGGGAAGTCTGGGTCCTCTCTTTATACCTAAAGCGGGATGAGAAACATTTGCCAGAGGGTATATTGACCACATCTGGTTAATCCTAAACATATCTTTGCAATGACTGCAAATTTGAGATCTTTTACCAACAATAAGGCTAGAACCAGCAATAATGGATGATCAATGGTTATAAATCATAAATATACCACTGTATCCCCAGTTAATCCTCAACAAAAAACGATGTTCGATCGTCATTCACCAACCTTGCCAAGATGGTGAGCTCGAGCAGTGAGGTCATCACTGTTTTTTTCCCTGATTCACCGAGATTTTCGTTGCTTCATCCCTGATCTTATCCCCACTTTTTAAGGTGAATTTCGGATTTGAGTGAGTCATATGTTTTCGTGAATTTTGTTGTATAAAATTTGGTGAGTCATATTTTCAAGCAGGATTTCGGATGTTTGTCGCTTAACATCTATAAAATGTTACTATATGTTACTATATCCAAATTGGGTTTAAAACATCTATAAATTCCATATTAACTCCATATAAACTATACATCAACATTGCGAATCTTAGATACCTGGCAAAAAAATCTAATTTTTAGCTGGCAAAAGTGGATATTTCCATTGAAATCGCAAAAGATTAAAGGATTAAACTACCCATCCAAGGTTGACCCTCTAGTAATTTAACGTAGCTATTGAAAATGACCATTAATAGTGGATTTTCCCATTAATAGCATGGTGATTTTCAATAGCTATGTTGACATAACCAGAGGGTACCACCCATTTTGCGCATGTTTCAGCCCTGTTCATTTACAAAACGCGTCCGCGCCAAGGCACATCCGAGCAGCTGGCGCCGTGGATCATGGCGGCAATGGTCTCACTGGGCCGAGCCTGCCACCCGAAAAAAGAAACATGTGCAGTGAAGAAAATAGCCTGGTGAATTGATTGCTTTTTGGGGGATTATACTACCTGATTACTACCTGTTTTTAATGGGGTTTTAATGGGATTTTATGGTGATCAATATGGATTCATGGAACTTACCCTCTGGTAATGACTAAACTTGCTATTGAAAGTGGCCATAGAAATAGTGGATTTTCCCATAAATAGCATGGTGATTTTCAATAGCTATTTTGACATAACCAGAGGGTAATTGATTGCTATAGGGGATTATACTACCTGTATTACTGGGGATTATATATATAATATATATATAATAACTATGGACTATGGATATATATATATATGGTTGATGGTTTGAACCATGTTGAACAATGTTAGTCAGTTGGGAAGGATTATCCATTCATACTATGGAAAATAAAATAAAATAAATGAAACCACCAACCAGAAAATACCCTGCTTAATTGATTGCTATAGGGGATTATACTACCTGTTTTACTGGGGATTATGATAGGTTCTGGCTCTACACCTTCCAGTGGTGAACCTGTTACCCACCGATAGTAGAGAGCCCGTGACACCAAATCATGGATGTACTGGTTAGGGGCCTTGCTCCTGGCAGTCAATTCAAGATCGTAGCCTATGTTGAAAGTTCCAGCTTGGGAATTCTCCAGTGCCGTGGGGTGTCCCCAGCCCAGCGTTTCCGGATCACGAATGCCACGGACTTGGAAGAGGGCAAATACACTTTCTACGGACTGGAGAAGTGTGCACGGGACTTGGACTCTTGTCTTTTTGTCAGCTCCACTGAAGCCATCATGCATCATGACAAAGGGCATTTTCAAAACCTTGTGATTTTGGATTTGTGTAGTGGGATAGGAGGATTCTCAATGGGTTCCAAAATTCTTGGTCTCCAAACAGAAGGGTTCGTGGAACGCAATCCTCTGGCCTGCATGGCTCTTCGGGCCAATTTTGAGGGACCAGTTTTCCAGGGTGACTTGGAAGATGACGAGATCCTGAAGCAGCTGCACAAGAAGCGCACTGGATACCACTTGGAGATAACTGGTGGGTTTCCATGCCAAGGTTACTCCCGACAAGGCGATCAGCTTGGCCTTGATGACCATCGAAGCCATGGACTTCACCACATCCTAAGCTATGCCTGGTTTCTCCAAGCCGATGCGGTGATCCTTGAATGCGTGGCTAATGTCACTCATTTCCCCAGGACACAGGAATGCATCGATGACTTTGCGCTTCAGGCAGACATGACTTGCCACAAGCTTGTCTTCGACCTTCAGCACCAGTGGCCGGTTCGACGCAACAGGTTCTGGTGCTACATGCTGGCCAAGACCTTCGCATCTTTTCCAATCCAACCATGGCCGGTTTCCACTGATTGCCAACAGTTGCAGGAGATCATGCCAATGGATGCCATTTGGCCACCTGAAGTTGAACAGCAACTGGAGTGGGATGCCAACGAGCTTGCCATCTACCTGAACCCAGAGTATGGGGCAGATCAACGACTTCTTCTACCTGAAGATAAAGCTCCAACGGTCTTGCATTCCTGGGGCCATGTCCATCGCCCATGCCCCTGCGGATGCCGAGCAGCATTCAGCGATCACCGATTGAGGCAGGGCGGTGCTCGTGGATTTGGACTTTTGTCCGCGTGCACCGGCAAGTATCGACACTTGCATCCAGCTGAAGGAGCACTACTTTGCACCGTTCCACCAGATTTCCAATTTCCCATGCCGCCCAGATCCGCCTTGTGCATGCTTGGACAGATCGATTCAGTCGCATCTTCTTGCCCAAATGCAGTACCAAACTTGGGGGTGGACAGGCATTGACCCTTCACAATGCATCCAGGTCTTCAAGCAGTACCTGATTGCCACCTCCTTTCGCAAATGGATCACTCCAAGGATGTATCAACCCCGAAGCATTCACCTTCACTTTGAGGACGAGCCCAACACCTTCGAAGTGATCATCAATCGACCTACTACGGTCTGCGAACTTGCTCAGGCAGAAAAGGCACTTTGCGGATGGGGCCACTATGCCATTGTCCTCCAGAATGGTCAGCGGGTGCCATTAGATGCACTGCTCCACACGGACATCTTGTACACCATCTCTCTGCGAAAAAGTGCACAAGTGAAGACCTGCTCTGAACCTAGTATCACAGGAGGAGGTCCTGAACACTCCGATGGGCTTGGTGACAAGATCATTTGGCACTACATGCAGGCCTTGTCAACTTTTGCAGGCACTGTCAGTGGAGAACGGCCCTGGATCATTTACCCCTTCCGGGTTGAGCACTTCCTGTCTCAGCAGCTGCCTGACGAACTATGCTCCTGTTGGAGGCAACAACATCTACAGTCCAATGGCCAAGTTTTCTTGATCTGCGAGCTTGACCACCATTGGCTATTACTGGAAGGACACAAGGATGAGCTTTGCAATGGACTTTCATGGACCCTTCACGATGGACTTCGATTGGGTCAGCAGCTCAAGACACTAGCCCTTGTAGCTCAAAAGATTGGTGTCATCTTGGACTTGGACTTTGTTGACATCAAGATGGGTCATGGACTTCAGCAGACCCACCCAGCAACATGTGGCACAATTGCACTTGTGCAAATGGCCATGGAATTGGACCTTATCCCTCTGGATCCTGGATTTGATCCACGGCAACTCCATGCATGGCTTGTGACAAGGCAACCACCCAGCCTCATCCACGCACATGGGCCTGGTCTCAGCCCGGACATGCACAACAAGCTCACCAATATGCTTCAACAACATGGAGTCCCTGAGGACGCAGTTGATGCTAGGACGAGACTGGTCATTCAGAAATTGGGGGTGTCTGCCATCCAGGAAGCATTTGGAGCAAAAAACTGCTGGGCCTATTTGAAGGCCATTGCTAGCAGACCCTCCATCTCACTGCGACTTGTCTTGCCAGATGAGCTGTCAAAGCACGTGGCAGCAACCTCAGCGACAAGATTTGGAGCAAATGTCAGCAACGCGAAAGGCAAGAAGAAGAAACCAGACTCCAAAGCAAACACTCCGACACTTAGCTTGGACCCGGACCAGCTGATGTTGACACACACACATTTTCGTGATCAAGATGATGATGAGGTGGAGCAAATTCCATTCACAGCAGTTGAAGCAGAAGCCACCGGCATTGCCATCTGCACTCTGGCGCAAGGTTGTCACTTTGTCCAGACCAAGCAGTCCATCAGCACAAAGCCGCTGGCCATACTCCTGACTGAACGACCTCCACTACAATTTCAGGAAGAGCACGAGGTGAGACCTGTGTCATTTGCTGCCAAATACATTGGCACTGGCGAGCCTATCATTGTCTTTGGCGCTCTCAAGAATTTGGGAGATGTTCCGATCACTCAGCACATTCCAGGAGCACATGAACAACCCACACTGGTCTCCACTCAAGTTGTCAAGGTCCAAGTGTTCAGAGATGAGTTCCAAGAATCCTGGCAACAGTTGGCTCAATCGCCAGTGAAAACACTATGTCAAGCAGTGCCTCGACTTCAACTATGCCCAGGCAAAGATTGCGGCCCAGACTGCGCTCGATCACATGCAGCTGTCGATGAAGAACTTGATTCCATCCTGTTGGAGATTTGGTCTCGAACATTCACCAAGTTGGAAGGTGGCAAGGTACCAGCCATGGATGCCCAGATCTTTGGGGTCTTTTTGAGAATCCCAGCCTCCATTCTTGATGCACTGCTCCAATTATCGGTGCCTGGTGTGTACTTTGAGCCCAGATCGGCCAAAACCAAAGGCCACGACGAGCGGTACAGAGTCATTTGGCTCCCAGCCCGCACCTATGAGGAGGCCATACACACCTGTCGTACACACGTACATGCACTTGGCCTGATTCGAATGAAGCGGAAGTATGGCATCAGAGTTTTGGCTGAGCACGAAGAACTCACCTTCAAGCAGATCAAACCCGATGCTACTTGGGTCAATGCTCAAGTTCAGCGCATTTTCCAGCTGTTCCCCTTGCCGCATGGCCTCCAGCGTGGTGGTGTTATCAAGCTCCTCAAGGACCTTGACTGGGCTGTTAAACCCCTACAACCAGGCAAAGGAAGTGCGGAAGCCATGTCATGGCAGGTGGGGGCATCAGCACCACCGCCACAAGATGTGATCACAGGCTTTGGCCGAGAGATCCTCATCACCGAGATCACCCGTGAAGGGAAGCCAATGCCACAGCCCAAACTGGTGGCTTCAGCCAAGACTCAGCAGTACATGAGGGCCGAAGCTTGATCATCGGCATCATCTCAGGGGGCCACAACAGTTGATCCTTGGACACTACCGGGGAAAGATCCCTGGAAAACAACTTCAGCCCCCAAAGCTGCACCAACTGGCAAGAGCCATCTTCAAGAGGTCACAGGCCATCTGAAAGAAGAGCTCACGGTGGCCATGCGACAAAAATTTGAGGAGCTGAGCCAGAATCACATCGTCACTGAGGATTTTGAAGGCCAACAAGCCAACAACCTCAAGCGCTTCCAGCAGATTGAGAACTCTCTTGGTGAGATGCAGGCACAACAACTCAAGTTCTCAGGATGGTTCACCTCCATTGGACAGCAAGTTCAGGCAACTGAGGCATCCATTCAAGGCATCCAGTACACACTCAGCACCCACCAAGCAGATCTACAAGGACTACACCATGAGGTCAAAGGTGTTTCAGAACAAGTTGGCCAAGCAGTCCACAATGCTCTTCAAAACCATAAGACAGAGGTGGCAAGTGACTTTGATGCTCGTTTTGACAGGCTGGAAGCTCTTTTCAGCAAGAAGCATCGTAGCGAATGACTATGTGGGGCGCGGCCTGCATGTGGGACCAGCAGGCTGAAACGCCCACCAACAATATCAGGCATCTTTTGGCTCTTCTTTGTCTTTTGGCAGATTACCATGGGTGCGGCCATCCAACTGCCCTTTGTTGAGCACACCGTTCCCAGCGCAGCATCTTCGGATGACCGCGAAAGCCAGTCGGGGGCTTTGGATTGGCAAGGCACCACTTTGTCATTTGAAGTGCATGGCAACCAGATGCATCATAGCATCTGGAGTCTTGGCCATCGATTTGGTGAAGCACAACACCCAGGACCTCACCAAAGCCTCGTTCTTGGATGCACAAATGGTGGATTGCGCAACAAAGAGGCCCTTGCAGTGGCACAAGGACCTGGAATCTGGACGTACTCGGAGACCCATTTGTCTTCCATTACACAAGTCTCATCTGGGAAGGCCTTGAAGCATGCCGCCCGGCAAGAAAACAGACTGCTGAGGCCATTTTTCAGTGCACCAGCTCCATTGCGCAGTCGTTCAGACTGGGCTGGAACCTGGACTGGGGTAGTTTGTACAAGTGATTTTTGCTCTAAGCAGCTTCAAGTTGAATGGCCACCAGATTTGTGGAACTCTGGTCGCGTTTTGGCCACCCAGCATCAAATTGGGACCCACAGTATCACTGTGGTGTCACTTTACGGTTTGCCCCGTGGTCCCACTTGGCCGCGTGCCGCAACGATCATGAATGACATCTTGGCTTTCATCTCCAAGACCTTTGTTTTTGGCCACTCTGGCCTTGTGGCTATATGTGGGGACTTCAACTTTAGTCCTCATGAGCTGGAGCATTTCAACATCTGGCGTTCAGCAGGGTGGTGTTCAGCACAAGAGCTGGCTACGACACGTTGGGACCATGTTTGGACGCCAACATGCAAAGGCGCCACTGAGCGGGACATCATCTGGCTTTCGCCAGCGGCAGCTTCATTGTGCACTGGCCTCCATATCGAGGATGTCTTCTGTGACCACAGCTCTATTTCAGTCACACTGGACCTTGCCGAGGCTCCAACCACGGTCCTCACTTGGCCTCGCCCTCAAGAAATCAATTGGGAGCAGGTTGATGTAGCAGGATGGCATGCACACTGTAGTGACTGCACCATGGAGGTTGACCCTGACTCCACGGTTCATATGACCAATTTTGCGCAGCATTTTGAGAACTCGCTGAACGGCTATGTGGGACAGCCTGGAAGCGACTTGCAGTCTGCTCAGAAGGGCCGTTCCAAGAGACTGAAACCTGCCAAGCAGACACTACAACCAACAACATGCCGTGCCAGCCGACCGGGCGAAGTAGCCTTGACCCAGGATCTGGTGGGAACAGCAGTGCTCCAATGGTTTCGACAGTTACGAAGAATACAGTCATACTGCCATTCGATCAAGGCAGGGCGACTGCACAATGAAGCAGTAGTCTACAGAGCCGAGCTGTGGACTTCAATCAAGCGGGCGTCTGGCTTTCAACATGGCTTTGCCTACTGGTGGGATCAGCAGGAATTTTTCCATGCTGTTGGTCCATTACCATTGCACCCTCCGGGCGCTGCCATTGCCAAGAGGATCTATGAAGCTTTTCACCATGCATTTCGAGCTTTTGAGCGTTGGCACTTAGCGCAGAAGAATCGACTGATCCAGACCAAATATGAAAAGGCAACTCAAGCCATTTTCAAGGACCTGCGCGATCCATCACCAGACCAGATTGACAGCCTGTGGACTTCAAAGGCTTACCAAGTGATCGCAGTGCGAGAAGAATCCAAAGCAGTTCTTCTTGATGATGGCATCCGGCCTCTGCCGGGATCAACATGGTATCACAACGGCTGTGGGCTAACCGTTGATGGATACATTGATGAAATGTTGGTCTTCAAACAGTGGCCTAACCTTGCGGTCGGGGATGTTCTCACACAGGCTTCTCACACCAGCTCAGATGCGCAAGTTCATGAACAACTCATAGATTTATGGAAACCACGTTGGCAACAACTTCATGCAGTTGACCCAGACCATTGGAGCAGAATCACCGGCTTCATTCAGAGCTACATGCCCAGTTTTGATTTTGTTTTACCAGATATCACTCTGGACCAGTGGATGCGGACTGTCAAGCGCTTCAAGCCTAATGCAGCTCGAGGCGCTGACGGCTTTGCCAAAAGGGACCTTCTCAACATGTCCCCCATGCATGTGAACTGGTTACTTCAATTTCTGATGAGGATTGAACTTGAAGATTTGGAATGGCCACAGCAGCTTCAGCAGGGCCTAGTGCTAGCCATAGCCAAGCACAGTGGAGCACATGAGCCTGGGTCTTATCGACCCATTGTTCTCTTTTCCATCATCTACAGATGCTGGGGCTCTTTGCGATCTCGACAGCTGCTACGTGCCATTGAGAACTTCGTCCACTCAGATGCACTAGGCTTCCTACCTGGCCGAGAAGCCATGCAGTCCTGGCTACAGATCCAGGCCAGTGTGGAGCTGGCTCTCAACACGGGCCAGGCCGTTTCAGGCCTAGCTGTAGACTTTGTCAAGGCCTTTAACAACATACGAAGGCCTCAGTGGTTTGAGCTGGCCAAGCATTTAGGCCTACCACAGCGGATCCTGCGGCCATGGCAAAGATTCCTTTCTTCTTTTACCAGACGTTTCCAAGTGCACAACCACCTGAGTTTGCCTCTCACATCGGATGTGGGTTTTGCAGAGGGCGACCCTTTGAGCGTTCCGGCAATGGCCATACTTGATTGGGCACTTCATGTTTATCAGTCTCAGTATGCTCCATTGACAAGGACCATGTCATTTGTTGACAACATTTCTATGCTGTCACGGCAAGTCATGACTTTGGTTTGGGCGTTCTTCTCCTTGCATGCCTTTTTGGAGCTCTGGGGACTGGAGATTGATTTGGACAAATCATACTCATGGAGTACTACCCCACAAACCAGGGCACAACTTGCACCACTGGGTCTGCGAGTTGTAGAGGACGTTTCAGAGCTTGGAGGATCTCTGACTTTTAGCTCTGCCGCAAGGGTCAGGATCTTTTTGAAACGGGGTGCCAAACTTGAACAGAAATGGGCGCGCCTCCGTATTTCGAAGGCGCCCTTGGCTCAAAAGTTGATGGTATTGCCCATGGTTTTTTGGGCATCAGCATTGCATGGAGCTTTGGGCTGTATCTTTGCGGAGAGCCATTTGCACCATTTGAGGAAAAAGGCTGTGGCAGCATTGGGGCTCAAAACAGGTGGATCCAATCCACTCTTGCGGCTCACCCTGGCACAACCCCATACTGCTGATCCAGGTTTTTATCATTTGCGACACTGCATTTTTGATTTCAGACGTATCTGCAGTAAAACTCCAGATCTCACGGTGCAATGGCGTCAGTTCATGCGGCTCTACAGTGGGCGTAAACTACCAGGGCCATTCTACAAGATTGTTGAGCTCTTTAGCCAGATAGGTTGGTCTATAGTGGTTCCTCCATTTTTCACAGATCATGATGGCTTTGTTCACAATTTGTATGATGTGCCAAACTCCACTTTGGATGCACTGCTTTTTGATGCGTGGCTCCAACATGTTGCTGTTCAAGTGCAGCACCGCAGAACCATGCATGACCTTTGCGGCATTGATCCTGAGTTGACACTCTTGGACCGTGCTCATATGACAGCATTGGAACTGGGAAGAACCATGGCATTGCAATGTGGGGCGTTCCTTTCGGATTGGCACCAAGCCAAGTTTGATCCAGCTAAGCAGCAAATCTGCCAGCTATGCCTGGTTCCAAACACACAGCGGCATTGGTTTGTCTGCCCCCATTTTGACAATGTGCGTACCGAGATCATGGAACCCTTCAACTGGATTTCCGAAATCCCAGACTGCACGGTCTCACATTTGTTGGTGCCGCGGAACCCCTATGCGGTGGAGTTCAAATCTTACTTCCTGTCACTGGAGGATGCCACCGGCAGTTTCCATTCGGAACCAGGAGAGGGTTTGCAAAATCTTTTTTCAGATGGTTCCTTTTTCCCAGGAATACCCAAAATAGCAGGGGTTGGGGCTTGGTCGTTAGTCAATGCCACAAGTGGACAAGTGATTGGCGCTGGCCCTCTGCATGGCTTGACGCAAAGCATTGCACGAGCTGAGCTATGCGGCGCCCTTGCGGCCATCAAGTGGGTTGCGCACTTCCAGACGATGGCGTGCCTGTGGTGCGACTCCAAGCATGTTGTTGATGGCCTACAAGCCCTTTTGGATGGACGCTGGACGACTCAGGACTCAATCTGTGAAAACCATGACCTTTGGCAACAAGCTGAAGCAATGCTCGCAGACATCCCTGACGGGCACTTTCAAGTGAATTGGACTCCTTCACACCTGGACTTTGTTCAATGTGAATCCACCTGGGAGGAATGGCTGGCGACTTGGAATGCCATTGCAGATAGTTTGGCTGTTTCCGTCAATGAAGCTCGCTCATATGAGTACAACGACTTGCAGTACAAGGCTCAGCAACGCTCTGCTCTCTGGTCAGAAAGACTGCGCCTTATCCGAAAGTTTTTCTGGACAGTGGCAGACAGTAAAGCACGGGACGAAGAAGTGATCGATTTGACGGCCAGTGAGGCGTTTGAGTGGCCCCAGCTTGGAATTGACCTAGCTGTTTCTGATGCTATGCCAATTAATTGGCAGACTCAGTTGAAATCCCATCTTGTACAGATGAAGTACCCGATTGAATTCGTTTTTGCCATTTTTGACATTATTTTCAGTTTTGAGTCTCCCGCTGTGGATTTGGCGCCTGTTGGTTTTGTTGAATTGACTATTTGGTGTATCCGGGAGACTCCCATCACCTTCCCTTTTTGGAATCCAAGCACTCATAGTTGGGACTTGAAGCGTTATCATGATGTTTTGTTGAAGCCTACTTTGGCTTCTGTGTGCCAGGTTGTTCGTCATGTTTTGACCAAAAGTCTCCACATCATGGGCTTGGAACATTACCTGTTGAAAGGTTTTCGCAAGCCAGAGGCTGGTTTCACTTTGCCATTGGACGGAATTGCATGCTGTACAAACCACACCGTCTTGAGCAAGCTAGCCTCCTGTAGCATGGCAGCCGCAGGTCAGACAAAGTTTAGGAAATCCTCTGACTTGGCGCGGCCGATCTGAGACCAGAGACATTGGCGGCGACTGCACCGCTTGCACTTGCTTGCTGTGCATGGCCGCCACGCAAAGCAGTCCGTGATATACTGGGGATTATGATGGGCCCCATAGTTGGCAGAATATGCTGGAAATAGCGGAAATGGTGGAAATGGTGAGAATAGTGGAAATGTCATCCCACCCCATTATGGAAGAATGTAAATATCCAGCTATGCAGTACTGGGGATAGTACAGGGATAAATATGGGATCATGAGGGAATAACTTGGCTTATTAAATATGCGGATGTCTCCCAAAAATGATGATAAGATATGATAATAATCATGGATTTTACCAGATTACACAATATGGGGAGAACATGGGATGTAACCAGCATTAACGAAACTATCTAGGTAAATTATAATATTTCACTAACCTGAATTGTTCGGCCATAAAAGGGGATGATTTCGCTTACTAGCCATAGATCCAGGGTTCGGGAGAACAGTGAGGTCGTTATAATTTACCCAGAACTATCATCTATTACTATTATCATCTATTATCATCTATTATCCCATGATTAGCTATATATTCCCATTTATTCCCATATATTGCTGGTATAATTCCCAGTTATAATTTACCCAGAACTATCATTTGCTCTATCGGAGATGATGAGATATGTGGTCCGCTTATCCCCTCCACGATGCCGCATGGCGGGCTTTTCGTGGGTGGACCAGTTTTTGCGGAATGGGAATCAGAGAAGAAGAAAGAATAAGAAAAACACGCTTACCCCCTGGTAACAGTTCGACCCTGAAAATCACCAGTTTTTAGTGGAAACTAGTCTTCCAACCCCTGGCAGGGTCTATGTTAATTTACTGGAGGGTAAAATTTTTGGATGTCTGTATTCAAGAAATGGTGGATGGTTGTTTTGCAGCTCATTTAACTATCAAAAATGTGGATTCATATGGATATCTAATGACGAAAATTGAGAGATTGTGCCCAAACTGTTGACACTCAAATATGCGGATTTCTATTTTTGCAGAGTATCTGGCTTACACTTTTAAATTGACCAAAACATATAGTGCTATATAATCTATATAAGGCTTGGAAACTTTGACCCATGGTTTTGCATTGCTGTTTCACCCTCAATCCCTTTCCGAAGTCAAAGTCCATCTCACCGAAATCTCCACCCGGCACTTTCTCGACCTTGTGCGTGTGCTTCACTGCATCCTGGGCATTGGAAAAGGCCCCTAAGAAGTTTGGGGATTTGTTTACCATCCATGTTCGAATCGGTCGATTTTTTGGGGGGGTGAGCAGGAATGAGCCGTTCCAACATTCGTATTTCAACAGGGGAAGTTGAACAACTGGAGCCAATGTCAAGACCGGAGGGGCATCCCTACTTTTCAAACTTAGTGGGATAATTCCCCTAACCATCATTCCAGTGCGAAGCATATTCATAATTGGGGATATCATGGGAATATCATGGCTGGTTGGTGGTATACCTACCCCTCTGAAAAGAATGAAAGTCAGCTGGGATGATGACTATTCCCATATATTATGGAACATAAAAAATGTTTGAAACCACCAGCCAGTACTGTACCCCCTGGTAAATTAACAGTTCGACCCTGAAAATCACCAATTGATAGTGGTTTCACTAGTCTTCCAACCCCGATGACTGCCAGGGTCTATGTTAATTTACCAGAGGGTAATCATCATTAATCATTATATATATATATTAAACATTATTAACAATTATTAACCATCATGATTAGTGGGTTACCCTTTGGGAATTAGGGTAATGGGATATGATGGAATATCATGATATGATGGAACCATGTGGCTCCCCAGAAATCATCCATGGGAATCCAGCTACTAAACCAAGGAGAGTCGTCCAGGGATACGTCCACTTCCAAGGATCCAGTACTAAACCAAGGTTACGGTTGGAGGGTGGTATTTGACGGGAAAGGAATATACAGTCCTGGCTCTAGAAAGGCTTGGTGTGAAGCAAGATTCTAAGATGAAGCAAGTATCATCCATCATTCCCCCCAAAAAATGCAATGACTATGTATGACTCAGAGTCAATTCGGAGCCAATGACAGTAGTAATACTACAGTACCTGCACTGTCCTGAACATGTTTCTCCACTCAAGAATCCAATAGTTGTTACAATCGCGAATCAACAAAAGTCTCAAATAATTCTTTGACAATCGACCACCTTGGTCGCTGCTGCAAGGCCGTAACTAACTCCATCGGCTCCATCTGATGGTAGTCATGTCATGCAGTTGCTCTTGGGCTAGATTAGCTGATTTTTTGAAGGAAACAAACAAGTCTTTATTATGATTAAAAAATCCATTGAATTGATGTTTTTGTCGTGGAATAGATTCACAAAATCCCAAGTCAAAGGTTGTACTGATTGAACGATCCATTGAATTGATGTTTTTGTCGTGGAATAGGTTAATAAAATCCCAAGTCAAATGTTATATATCATGTAATCCACTATTCAGCATGTGGTTGTATTCCATTCCATATCCCCATTAGATCCCATGAATATCCCATGAATATCCCATGAAAAATCCGTGAAATCACCCAAAAAACCCAAGGTCTGACTTGGGTATGGATCAATACCTAGTAATACCATTTTTACTGGGATGAACATCCATTTACCAGCTATTTTGATGTTCACCAGGGGTACTATTGGTTTTGACACACTGCCATTTGGTTTCAGAGCCATGAAATCAACCACTCTCGCCTTCGCGACGTGGATCATCTGTTGGCCCCGCATCTTTTGAACCTCCATGGCCTGCAGTGCAACCATAGAAGATCTGTAGAAGTCTTACAAGATATATCCCACATGTATGAAATCCCATATAGTTCCCATAAAAATTGATGTGGGTATGTAGATGCTATGTAGATGCTATGTAGATGCTATGTAGATGCTATGTAGATGCTATGTAGATGCTATCTATGTACTATATATATATATTATGCAACGTGCATGAATTATTGACATTGCATTCTGAGTATATGTATATAATTCTATATATATATACACTGTGTATATAAATTGAATCCGTTGCATTCAATCCCAAGAGGCCTATATTTACATTTCACATATGGAATACACACATATACTTTTGAATAGTCATATGCTGCACTGTATAGAGGTACGCCCATATATAATGTAAGTGTGTAAACATTAGATCCACATCAGAATGGCAAGACATAAACATACGGTAACCCCCAAGAAAGAGAAAAGTAACTAATAGCCATGTTTGAATGATATGTTGTTTTTCTGCGTCTTTTTGGGATTTGCTATAGATGGAGTTATTTACGGACTGGCATACATACATATGATAGATGCATTATCCAATCTATATGGTATGGTAACCCATCTATACGGTCAGAAATTTCTTATGCAGTCCATAACTTAGCTGGTAAAAGGATGAGTTTCAACTCATCCATGGATGTGTCTCAAAACAAGATACCCCAATACTTTGATGGTTTAAAAACCTCATTTCCCCAAAAATTGCCATAGCTTGGGGGTAAATTTCTCATCAGACAGACACAGAAGATCAATTTGACAATGATTGCCAATGAATTCCTGGTTCAGCATAGTTCTTTTCCTTCATTTACCTCACCCAAAAACATCACAATTTCCCAGCCATGCCCTGGTTTTCACCTTCCAAAGTTCGGCCACACACCAAAGGCGGCAGTAAAGGCTCTCAGTGACCTTGAGCAGATTGAGCAGGGCTGGGGATCCCAGCAGGTCCCAAGAATTCCAAGGGTTTATCATGAAATTTGACCATCAACTGGTGGTTAATAATGGTCAATGGTGGTTAATAATGCTGGTTATGGTTAACCATTGTGGGTTTCTCATGTTTACAATGTCCTATTTGTTGGACAGGAGGGCATCCTCATTATACCAGGTTGATTAGAATTCACATTACATCCCCATCAAAATGGATTACTGGTTGGTGGTTTCAACCCTACCCTCTGAAAAATGATGGACTTCGTCAGTTGGGATGATTATTCACAATATATGGAGAAAAAATGTTCCAAAGCACCAAGCAGATTATTATTGATTCTTATAACTTATACCCAATGTTGATGAAAATGGATGATACTATACCCCTAATAATCTAGATCATTATGATATGGGGTTGAAATTGAGGATGCCAATTCCAATGGATTATTATTAAATTCTCCCCATTGAAATGGTCATTTAGGTATACCGAACATTTCCAGACAAACCCAACATGCAAATATAGAAAATCCAGGTCCAAAATCTTGGTACATTGGATGGGAAAAGATGTGATTTTTTTCAGCAGCATTGCCATGGGGATCGCTACGAAGTTCACCGGTTCCAGGATTTTTTATTATAATGGTTGGATTGGATGGAAAACAAAATATCAGCAAAATCTGAGATTTTATGACCAAGAATGCATAGAATAGATAGTGTATAACTGTATAACCAACCAAAAAAATGCAATTTGATCAGCAAACAAATTGGCCAATTGGCTTTAGGGAACGAACATGTACAATTTATACTGAGGGCGAACATCTTCAAATGGGGAATTTTGCCAATGGCTAAAGTCGGACACGGCCGTTGCAGGGCGATTCGATGTTTTTTTCCGTGGCAGGTCGATCTTCATCGCCAGTAGGGTCGACAGCAAGGATACCCAGCGCCATGATTTTGCGGGGAAGATAATGGTTAATATATGGTTATTATATGGTTAATGATGGTTAATAATAATCTGGTTGCTGTTTTTTCGCCACCTCTCTGAAAAATGATGGAGTGAGTTCGTCAGATGGGATGATTATTCCCTTCCCAACTGAATGGAAAAATCCTCCATTCATGTTCCAGTCACCACCAAGCAGTTCAAAGTCCGGATCCAACTTTCTTTCCATTTGGGTTGCTTTGACCGAAATTGGGGGCCCTCCGATAAATTTTGGGACAAAGCCACGTAAGGTAAAGTCCATCTATTGCTGGATTATATAAATCAGAGGAAATCCAAGTGTCCAAATGAGTCCAAATGTGTTTGATTAATGTCCGATGTTTGATGGTAAAAATCAGCCATTTCCTTCAGCCCAAATTCAACTCCGCATTTTTGCTGGTTAAAATCCCTAAATTCTTCTTGGGTTACTTAGATTGCCACTTACGCCCCCCGGTGTATTGCATCACTTCCTCATTCCACAACCTGCATTTTTTTTATCAGATTTATATATATATATATATATTTATATATATAGTTTAAATATGGCTATGGGTCAAAACCCTGGTACCTAGTGAACATCAAAATAGCTGGTAAATGGATGTTCATCCCACTAAAAATGTATCTATAGGTATTGACCCATACCCATATATTGTAGAACCTGAAAAAAGTGATCCCTGTTCTGTGAACTGATAATCTTAGTCTTGCAGTCGTCAGCAGGACAATCAAGTTCTGGATCGGTACAATTGAAACCACCAACTATTGGCTTTATCTCGCTACGCCAAACAAGGCTTGGCATGAGTCCCATTGCTGATTTGGGAGAGGGGATGACTCTCAATTTCGCTGGTCCCTCAAGGATCAACCAATCAATGATGTCAAGTCTCCCAGTACATACCGGTGCTTTCTTAACTCATGCGAGATCTTCAAGTCACCATGGATTTCAGCCCTAAACGGGTGAGCCATCCGAAGCCTGAGTCCAGCAAACTCGTCCGATGAAACGTAAACCTTTCGTTAAGCCTGGTAACCTGACCAGTGAGATGATTTCATTGCTTTATTCGGGGTACAACGCAGTTATCTGATAGCACCCTATTTGGGGTCCATGTGGAGGTTTCCAATCCATGGGGGTTACCGAAAAAATAGACGTACCCCCAAATCATCCATTATAGATGAGCTTTTCCATTATAAACCATCCAGCTATTTGGGTACCCCATTCTAGGAAACCCCCATACATATATATATATATATATATCATATATATATAAATATACACATATATAATCATAAATATATATATATATCCATATTTGTTTAGAACGGCTAGATATAACTTCGTGGCTACCCACGATCCTCCCCCTGGGTCTTTCGAACGTTGGGGACCACCACAAAGGAATGAAGTCGTTCATCAGCCAGGGCCTGACAGTAAACTCAGTGGATTTTTCGTGGTTATTTAATGGTGATTTAACCGTCATTTAATGGGATTTTAATACGACTTTAATGGGATTAATGGTGATTTAATTGATTTAGTGGGGATTTAACGGTGATTTAATGGGATTCAATGAGATTTAACGGGATTTAAACAACTGTGGGGATATTGGGAGTATACTGGTGACTAACCATCTAAATTAACAGCTTAAGACAAAGCTTTGTGAAAAATGGAGCGTGCACATGTTTGGAAAGCGTCAAAGGATAAGCCAACTTCAAGGGATACAATTGTTCGAGGAAGAGTAGTACTCACGTCGAAAAATTGGAACATCTACACAGGGAAAATCAAGATGTGGAGGTGTTGTTTGTTCACACAGAAATTACGCATGCGAAACAAAGAAACAAAAAACAATGAGTTTCAACCAACCAACATGTGGATCCATCAAAAAAATCGATGTATTGTACCCACGAAAACAATGCACTGAACATCGCAGGATTGTGACCTATATCGAGGATTGGCTCCGCTGGTTGCTAGGGACTGGTTGCCAATGCCCATCAAATTCCTGTCGGACCTGGTTTGTTTGAGGGCTTTATGATTAACAAGACTTGATGGTTGGTTTATCATGAATACATCGATTATATTTGATTATGATGGTTTATGGTTTATGAAGGTTTATGAAGGTTGATGATGATGATGATGATGATGATGATCCAGCCTGCCAACACTGGTGGTCCAATAAATCGAAATGTGGTGTCGATGAGAAAAAGAAGTGGCAAAAGACCAGTATTTCAAAGGGATGTAAGGGACAAGTGATTGGGGAGGCACCTATATATAGATGAGCCAGCAAATTATCAACATGGCTCGCCAAATAGAAATCCAAAAGTATGGAAACCCAATGGTTTTGGAATCCTTAGCCCTTATTAATTATTTAGTCCATATAAAGTCCCTAGTCCCGCAACAAAAGTTGGGGAAACCCTTCGGGAGACAACGGCGTCAACGGCGTCAACGGCACAACCCGCGCGCGACCTGCATGAAGGGAGAGTCCATGAGATCAAATCCTTAGTGTGTTGAGGCACCAGTTGATTTAAGATGTCAACTGAACAAAAATTGAACAAACATTGCCAATCTTAGATACCCTGCAAAAAATTAAATTCTTTGCTGGTTAGTAGATATTCCCATTGATTCCAAAAGACTAAAGGATTAAAGTATCCATGTAAGATTGACCCAGACTTGAACAAATCTCACGAAGATTTACAAAAAAACTGATCTTCACTTAAATGAACATTCAATATGTACATTTACAAAGCACTAAGCCGTTGCAAAAAAAACAACGGAAGATTTAAGCCGACCTTCCGGGATCATCCCCCGATCATGTCACTTGTTTCAGGCTTGAAAAGGGGGGTATAGATTCCTGGTTGGTGGTATACCTACCCTCCTGAAAAATATGAAACAGTTGGGACTATGAAATTTCAATATATGGAAAAAATAATCCGAATGTTCCGAATCACCAACCAGATTCTATCTGGGCAAATTATAACAATTCACGAACCTGAAAAGTTCGGCTGGGATAGTTCCCCTCTACTAACCATGATCGCCCGTCAGACCAGGGTGCCAGAGATCCTCGGTTTCAGTTCGGTGGTGCCGTTGCCGATTTCTGGTGATACTTCCAACATCAACCCCGAATTTCCAGGGAGGTACAGGAAACCTCTTAGTAGACTCATCTGAGCGAACATGTCAAGTTGAAATCCCAAATATGGTGTCCAAAGTCATGATAGCCCCAAATCATCCAATCGTCATGGATGACCATGACCTATATATAGTATTGAAACCACCATGGTGACGACTGGGGATCCCACATGACTTAAGAACCACCATGTTTGTTGGTTTAAACCACCATTAGATCCCAATAAACCACCATTAAATCCCATAAAACCACCAATTTGCAATAAATCCCATAAAAACCACCATTTTCATCATAAAACCATCATTTGTTTCCCATAAACCACCGGTTTTTGTTGTCTAGTCGTCCTATGAAATCCCAATCAATCCCAAACTCGCCATTTTTTTCCCAAGCTTCGTTCGCCTAAGAGCTGGTTCAAGTCCTGGTGGACATGCGCTTTTAATGGGTTTTTAAATGGGATTTGATCAATGGGAATTTCATATTTATAATTTAAATGGATCCCATTTGGTCATAGGCCTTATAATATATATATATATATTAGATGTAGATATTCCCACCATAAACCTACCATGACTCAGTGGGAGATCTTCAGGAATCTAAATTGGAGGTACCTACCACATATATTTTTGAGGCCTATTTTTTAGGCCTATTTTTGAGGAAATTATCCCCACAAAATATGGCCAAAAATATGGTACACTACCTCCATTTTGGGATCCTGAAATTCCCATTGATTTGATAGGTGAATCTTATCATAGACCATTTGGGGGTACCAAATGGCCGCTAGGAAACGTCAAGTTCAGAATCTTGGATTTTGATATGTGAATCTTAGATACCTGTCAACAAAACTCATGTTTAGCTGGTGAATGGACTTATTTATTTTACATCATTTTACCATAGCAAAATAATTTTTAGCACTAAAGTATCATGGGATTTATATATATACATATATATATATATATATGTATATATAATTAGTGAGATTTAATGGGATTTGATGGGACTTAATGGGACTTAATGGGATATCACGGCATTCAAAAAATGGGTGTCTGAAAATGGGGTTTGTCTGAAAAATGGCAACTCTTCATAGGGAAAATGCTGGTTGACTCGTTAACCAATGGATTTAGAGGTACCCGATTTTCAGACAAACCCTGGGATTTCATAGGTGAAGGGCATTCTAAATGGGATTTAATAGCTGTGAATGATAATGAATATTATAATGTAATGGTGGTTAACAATATTGAATAGTGATTTACAGTGGCTAATAAATATCAACAATATTCAACGATATAAATCTAGTATTGGCTATTGAATAACAACAATGGTGGTTCCAATGCTAATAACAATGGTTATTACCAAAATATTAGTTAGCGATGGCTATTGAATTACAATTGGTCATTGATTGTCAAATATCAACAATCACTGAATGGAACATGGCCAACCTTGGCTGCTCGATGCTTGAGTCACGTGAAAAAGATGCGAACTGTCTGTTGAGGAGCACTATCCCATTTCACAATGATTGAAACCGCATTAATGATAGTATAACAAACAGACATGGGGGTACGAATTGATTGTTGTTGGGGGAATATATATATATATATACATAATAAGTGACCTGGGTTTGTACGTGGGGGGATCCCAAATTTCCATAAGTGTCCTTGTAAACCCACATACACACAATAACACCCACCAAAAGTCACGGCTACTCCAGACTGAACCCTGGGTTTGTCTGAAAATATTGCAAAAACGCAACACCCCAGAAGGTAGAAGGGTACTTTCTATCTTTTAGGTGGTTGCCCTCTGGTAAACAAACAGTTTGCTATTGAAAATGGCCCAGTCGAAATAGTTGATTTACCCATCAAAAATGGTGGCTTTCTATAGTTTTTTGTACGTTTACCAGAGGTTACCCTACCCCAATTTTGATGTTTGTAGCACCATTATGAACCATCATTCACCATCATTCACCATCATTAACCATCAAAAAACCGCCATTAATAATCACCATTAACCATCATTAACCACCAAATTTCGATGTTTGTAGCACCATTATCCCTATTCAATTGGCTAAACAAAGCTTGTTGCACCGGCCTCAGATGGGTCATAAAAACCATGGGTCAACCAGAGACGCGTCATGTGAAGGGATTACAAGCAACAGGGAGAAATGAACCATCCAAACATATGGCTGTGTCTGAAAATGTGGTATACCACGGTATACCCCCCAACCAGATAGCCATTTATTATGGCAATGAATGTGTTAAATGATCATAAACCGTCATAAATGTATTAGTCATCATGGGGATAATGAGGATTGACCCATCAGCCATGTTGTTATCCCATTTACCACTGATCAGCGCCCCATGGCCATGAATTTCGCCAAACCATCGCCTGTCGCTGCCACGTCTGCGGATTCGCTAAGAAGCAACACCACATGGACAGCGCCTCGTTCTGCCAGTGGTTTAGCACCTGCCATGCTGCGCCAAGTGCCAAAAAAACGTGGTCATCTAGCAGGATTTCAAATCAAGGCCGATTTCAACTGTTCACAAATCGGCAAAGATGTACTTTTTTCACATGTTATAACAGGGCTAGTTACTAGTTCCATAGATAAAAAGAAAATCACCCAACACACCAAACACGAGGAAAATTGATGGAAATGTGGGTAAGGAAGAGGAAAACAAAGGGAACACACCCAGCAATTTCCATCAATTTTATGCTGGTTGGTGCTTTTAACCATCTTGAAAAATGATGGAGTTCGTCAATGGGAAGGATAACATCCCATATATGAAATGGAAAATAAAATTCATGTTTGAAAGCACCAACCAGGTTTTTTTCGTTTTGATCCCTGACCCTCTGGTAATGACTAACATAACTATGGAACATCACCAACCAGATATTTTTGATATTTTTGCGGGATGAAAACTGATGGTGACCCAGCAATGTCCATCCAATTTTATGTAATCTCTTCCATCAATACTATCCAATTTTGGTTCCACCAATTTTGACAGAGTTATGGAAGCTCAGTTGCCTACGGATCCTGTGGAACTTCTCGCGCCTTGCGACTGAACTCGTAGACACCTTCCTTCCACGAGTGGGTCACCTCGGATCTGCCCAAACTGGAAAGGAATCTTCTGTGAACGTTGGGGTTCGTTCACCCCAGTTCTAAACTGGGGTTAGTTAGGGTTAGTTCACCCCAGTTAATAGGGTTAGTTAGGGTTAGTTCGGGTTAGAAAGGGTTAGTTCTAAAACTTGTTCAATCTGAACTAAGCCTACTCTGCTATACTCTGCTTATATTATAAGTGGGCTTATAACTTATAACAATCCCAGAAGCGTTTTTTTCATAGATCTTGGTTTCAAGTCACCACGTTTCACGGGGGCTCCCGGGACCACAAACCAGAATTTGGCTTTGATTTTCCCAGCTAGAAAACCTCCAGTTATAATGGATTTTCCATAGCTATGTTAAATAATCAGACGGTATCTACTTGGAGTTCTTTTTGGCAAACCCAAACCTATACGGGTCGTGAAACCAGAGTTCTTTTGTTGCCGTTTACGGAGATGCAGTGTACCAATACAAGCAAGCCGTGGTCATTCACTAAAATCATGGCCAATCTTAGACTCGTGGGGAAAAAGGATCCACTCAACAAAAGATTACCCATTACCCAGTGGTGACTAAAGGATAAAGGACTGAAGGACAATAATTGCATCGCATCAACATTGTTTCTTTAGTGGTTTGACATCTCTTCAAGTATAACCTCATCTGGTTGGTGGTTTCAACCCCTCTGAAAAATATTAGTCAGTTCGGATTATTATTCCCAAGATATGGAAAAATAAAATTCATGTTCCAAACCACCAACCAGTAATGTTTGATCACTTTGCACCATCATCCCGGATTTTTGGACGTTGCTCAAAACCGAAAAACTTCTGTTGCTCAACGTTAATTAAACAGGTAGTGTTCAACACCGTCATCCGCTAAAGGAACCAGGCAGTACAACCCCCAATCATCAACAGCCATCATCATTTACCCTCTGGTAGACCAACATAGTTATGGTGAAAATCACCATTGTTCATGGGTAAATCCACTATTTCTACGGGCCATGTTGAATAGCTATGTTAAATTACCAGAGGGTATCAATCATATCGAATTATATCCAGAGTCGGTTGATGGTTAGAACATGTTAGAGCCCATAATTACACATGATGCTTAAAATCACCCTGCCTCCCCCGGTTCAATACATGTACGATATTGTGTGGAACCTAGGGGGACAGTGTCTATGACAAAAATGATTTAAATTGGGGCTGTAACCCATTTGTAAATGGTAAACTAACAGTTTGCTATTGAAAATGGCTATAGAAATAGTTGATTTACCCATCAAAAATGGTGGTTTTCTACAGTTATGTAAACGTTTACCAGAGGGTAAGTAGGCCTATAAGCCATTTATAAATGGTATAATCATGTATAATCCACTTAGGGAACCTATAAAAACCACTGAACCGAACTTTCGATTCGTGGGATGATCGAAGTTGAACCTAACCAGGATCAACTGATCGCTGCGCAGCCATCCCAGTTGCGAAGAAGAAGTCCGAGTGAAGGCCACTGGGGTTCCTGAGATGTGGCTGCAGAAAAGGACGGACTGTAGGGTGATATAATGGGTATTTAAATGTATATATATATATATAGAATGTGAGGCCCCCCAGTTATAAGTGGGTTTATAAGCCCCAGTAACTATAGTTATAAGTACCATAAACCATAGTTATTGGAGTTATAAACCAACTTAGCTATCTTGGGGGCCTCACATTGTATACATATATATATACTGGTTGGTGGTTTTAACCATCTTGAAAAATATGAGTTCGTCAATGGGCAGGATGACATCCCATATATGAAATGGAAAAATAAAATCCATGTTCCAAACCACCAACCAGAATATATATATATATATATACACCATTTGGTTATTTAACGTAGCTATGGAGAATCACCATTTTTAATGGGTAAATCATCAAACAAACATCTATAAATGGGCCATCTATACCATGGCTATGTTAGTCATAACCAGATGGTATAATGGTGGTAAAATATGGTATAATTTGATGATTTCATGGGATTTCACGCGGATATTTCATGTTTTTTTTCATGGGATTGAATGATGATCAAACAGGGAGTTCTTGGGATTTCATCTATTTATCAAAGATGGCTGGGAAATCCCGGTCTAAATGGAGCTTTCTAGCTGGGAAAAGCTGGTATCAACTGATCTTCCATTGCTGTATTACCGGAGGGTACCTCAAAAATTCTTGTTTGAATGAGTAGAATGATGAAAAAATCACCGCTGGATTTGGGGTCCCATTTTTGGAGATCCTGTAGTCCGCATGTTCATGAGTGACTTCGGACATTTGTTTGAGATATATCAGTACCGTGGATGGTCTGGGAGTGGATTGGAAAAGGTTCAAATATTTGTAAAACTTAAAACTCGACCCGCAGATTGAATTACATCATGACTGGCTGGTTGGGTTTGCCCGCAACAGTACTTGATGACGCTACCTGGAATGGTCATTCCACAGTGTGCACTGGTTCTTCCCCTCCGATTTCATCATGAATCTCTGGTATGCTACCGTCCCTGTGTTGAAGGGTTTTCACATCTGTTGCTAAACACTCTATGTACATATTTCTGTTCATCAAATTCCAGGGCATATGCGTGAAATATTCTTATGCCCATGTTGGTTGGTTAAATTATAGTATTTTGTCGTTGGGCAAAACATATTTTGGTTGATGGGACCCTTGTTTGTGTTGGTAATGTTCCCAATTCTTTGCGTCAAATCCCATATGATACCTTTCTGTAAAAATTAGAGGGGCCGGTTCGCCGCGTAGGTATACCTGTTTACCATCCTTTGTACTTAGATCGTCAACCTACCAGCGGTAGGTTAAACATCTCCAATCCCCATTGGCTGTTCGCTTCCATCGCTTAAACCGCCGTTCTTGTGAGTTAAATCAGTTAAATCATGATGTTTTGGTTTGTGAATCCCCAGTCAATGGCCTAAGGAGATCAAATTTTACAAATGTCCATTATTGTTCGTCAAATACTATTTGTTTGTTGCGCACATTGCAAAATGCCCGCGCAACTATGTTAGATGTCCCTTTGTTCCTGTCAACATTGCCTAAAAACAAAGCAATCAAACCAAGATCTACCCCACGGAAGTGGCGCATGTGTCTGGGTATCTTTTTGATACCACCAGATTCTGTTGGTTGAAAACCTCCGTTTTTTACTGGTTGCAAGATCAAAAACCCAGCTTCACCCAAGCATACTTGGATTTGCTTGGACCATGTAGTGCTGATATGTGGGAACTTCACGTCTTTTGGGACATAGTAACATGCCCCTTGTTTCCATCTCTGGCCATGACATCCTGGTACTTGATGCACTTGTCATAGTGGCAATGACCTCTCCACATACTGCTTGTGACTTGCTGATGTCATTTTGCCCAACATGCTATACGCAAACTCGTGAGACGTGCGCGTTGCAGAACTGAAATTCCCCAGTTGACCTTTCAAATTCCCCAGCTGACGTAGCGGAAGACACCACATGTTCCAACTCTTGTTGCACACATCAAATCTGCTCTTCGTTGAAGCAAGTTGTGAAAAGTCCTTCCAAACGTTCACGATATGGAAAAAATGGTTTGTGCTTCACAGTTAAGAAAAGGGCACTGCAAGTGGTTAATATGCTCGTTAGGGATATTCGGAGATTGCACATATACCTTTTATTAGGAAATTTGGTTGGCTGGTATTAATATGCACATAGATGTTTATGGTTTTTACCATCAAGAAGGAGCTAATCATCAACCAGAGTTACTAGCGATGAGGGCAATCAACTATGGTAATTGTAGTTATAATGGTCGTTGGGGTAACTAACTATGGTTAATAATATACACATGTTGGGGCAGTTCTGCCAATGAAGATCACCAATTTAGAGAATTTTCCTGCTAGCCATGTTTGATTCACGGAAGGTATCCAAATATGATCTGACTATAGTTGTTGCATCTACAGTATATATGTGTATATAATTATATATACATATCCCAGCAATAGTGTGCTTTTGGTAAAAATAGAGGGGCCGGGAGCTGCTATACCATCTATCATCATTTACCTGTTGTTATTTCGGGGTTTCTTCAAACCCCTCTATTAATTAACCAACCAATGGGAATTTGGGACATCTATATGTCCCATCAGGCAGCATGTACCCTCTGGTAATTTAACATGGCTATGGAAAATCACCATGTCTAATGGGAAAACTCACTATAAATGGCCATTTTCAATAGCTATGTTAGTTTACCAGAGGGTATGTTTTTTCATCATGTTAGATCGCGCTCCAAGGTCTACACGAACGTTACGGACTCCGGTAATGAAACATGGCCATGGAAAGACCTCCATCTGGTTGGATGAGTTTCCTATAAAAACCTCCATTTATAATGGCTAACTTCCCATATATTCCCTATGAATTTCCCATAGATGTTCATAAGTTCATATACCCTCTGGTTATGACTAACGTAGCTATGGTATAGATGGCCCATAGAACTAGATGATAAAACTGATGATTTACCTGTTGCCAATCTTAGATACCCTGCAAAAAATGACAAATTCTTTGCTGGTGAACGTAGATATTCCCATTAATACCAAAAGACTAAAGTATCATCAAGTATCCATGTAAGATTTACCATGACTTACCCTCTGGTAATTTAACATAGCTATAGAAAATGGCCATTTATAGTGGATTTTCCCATGAAAAATGGTGATTTTCACCATAGCTATGTTGGTCTACCAGAGGGTAAATGATGATGGCTGTTGATGATTGGTGGTTGTACTGCCTGGTTCCCAGAGGGTAAAACTGATGATTTACCTATTGAAAATGGTGATTTCCCGGCTTTTCCCAGCCAAACCTTCTTTGGGAAAATTCGGATTTCGGTTCCGCGTCGAGGTGCAGCATCAAGGCCCAGGACATCCCCCCAGCCAAGGCCGTTCTGCAGCACCGATGCGGAGCATCGGTGGGAGAGAAAAACGATGGCTTTCCATGGGATTTCCATGGGTTTTCCACAGGAAAACTATGGGAAAATGCTGACTTGACCCAACAAGAACGGTGATTTAGTGGGATTTCATGGAACAAATCATGGGATAACCAACGATTTCATGGGAGAAAATGATGGGGTTTCCACCATATTTCTGGCTTCACCCCGTAACCCCCGTGAGTTTCACAATATTTTTTTATTTGTGCCTGGATGCAGATAGGCTGACAGCAAATGATGAACTATGAACCATTGATCTCCCCAACAAAAAGAGTTCCTGCCTGGGCTTGATCACATCCAGATTCACTGCGTGCATGTTGGGCCCAATGTCCTTGGATCCAAAAGCCACCCAGATGCCACCCGAAGTTCTGGTGTCCCCGGTGTCCCCAGAAGATTCAGTGGTTTACAATCCATATATAGCCGATAGGAATCCATATATATATATACATATATATATATAAGGGGATATGCCATATATGACTGGGGGTATAACATGGTATAACCCATTCTCCAAGTGGGGCCCGCACCCCAAAGTAGAGCAGAAACACAGAACCGAGTGGAAAAAATGTCGCATCAACCCCTAGGATTGAACACCTTCTTGTTTCATGTCAATTTATTCCCAACTCTTGGTACCTTCCAGCGGAAGGGTTGCCCCATTGAGATTCCTCAAGTCGCAAGGTCTCCAGATCAGTGCGTACCATTCGCCGTCGGAAGTCCCAGCGCTGCACCGCTTCCAGTCGACCTCTCCATGTCGCAGTTTCCCAAGATACCATCTGTGACTCCAGCCGCGCAGTCACCTCCGAAAAAAACGTGAATAGAAGATTCCTTTGAGGCTTCAGTGCACAGGGTCAATCAACATCTTAGAATATGTCTAGAGTACTGTACAATAGTTTGATGATCTCTCATCCATGAAAGAGACCGTTGTTGTTGTTGTCATCATTGAATGTACAAGATCAGTAAAAAGTGTCAGACTATGCACTGGAGAAATCGCATTTAGGTGCACAGAGGTGTTTCAAGATATTGATGCAAAAGGTCTCAGAAATAGCAAATGACACAAAGATGTAAAAGCGTTACTTGGATGTGCACCCCAGGAACCCACATCCAAAGAGGTCAAGATTTCCACCAATAAACCAAAGTTAACTCAGGTCCGTCCTAGGGAAGACCCTCAAGCTATGCCATTTCAAAAGGTAAAACAGTGATCAACACAAAATAACAATGAGATAGAATGGAACATTGGAATAGTGGGAGGGTTTAATAAACCCACAATGGCCTGTAATGTGTTCTATTATTGTTACTGTTATGAATGGAATACCGAACAATTAGTAATGGATAGTAATGGTATTGGTAATAAACCATTGTGGATACTAATTACTGTGTTTAATGGTAATATTACAAGGGAATACCATTACTGGATACTGTGTTATATTAATTGCTATTCCACTATATTCCACTAATTAATACCAATGGATTTAATATAGTTATTTAACATAGCCATGGAAAATCACCATTTTAATAGGTAAATCAACTATTTCTATGGGCCATCTATACCATGGCTATGTTAGTCATAACCAGAGGGTAGTACCAATGGATTTAATATATCAATGGCCATTTCAGGAACCGATTTATTGGAGGTACCCACCATATATAAGGCCTATTTTTTAGGCCTATTTTTTAGGGAATATCCCCACAAAATATAGCCAAAAATATGGTACTAACGTACCTCCATTTTAGGATCCTGGATTTCCCATTGAATCATTTATAAATGTTCACATTTTCCATGTCGCTATTTCCATTGGTATTCACTGGTACCATTTTATATATTTAAATATATAAATTATAAACCACTGGATACCATACAAGGTGGTGCCCCCCAGTTATAAGTTGGTTTATAATCCCATTAACTATAGATATTGGAGTTATGTTCACCAACTTAGCTATCTAGGGGGCACCACCTTGTAGTGGAATAGCCTACTCTCATTTTTTTGAACCCGTGGTTCCGAACGAGATCCCGAAGCCTCCATGGTCAGCCTCCATGGATGTCAAAGGGGATCCCCTTTTTTTCGTCACCATGGTTGTTTCAATAGCAGTCGTCATGGTGAACCATGACTTGGATAATTTGGGGGGGTACCCCTTTAGATTCGAACCCCCTGTTTATTTATTTATGTGTCTATTTATTTATATATATATATACGAATATAACTATAAATGTTCCCATCCAAATATGTTGTCCCCCATGAAAATGATCTACGGACATAGTCCCAATGCATTGCCCAATCAAGAATAGTTATACAAGTATATAACATTATATAACCATAAAGGGTCCGAAATATAGGCTCCTTCATTAAAATGATTTTACCCTCCAGATAGGGTTGGAAGATTAGTTTCCATTAAAACTAGGCTATTTTCAGGGTCGAACTGTTAATTTACCAGAGGGTAACCCTTGCCTTCTCCCTTCTCCAAGCATCCATGTCATCGTGGAAGGGATTTGGCTCCTAGCCGACGCTTTCCGACGCACACTGGAAGCCATGAAAAATATGAAAAGACGTTGCTGCAAAATGGTGTGACTACTGGATTCCTAGCATTTATCTGCAATATGAAATCAATATGAGGGTTTCCTGAAATGGGGGGTACCCCCAAATCATCCATTTTAATAGGATGTTCTAGTTTAAACCATCCAGCTATTGGGGTAACTGCAGGTAGCCGGCAGCGACTGCAATCCAAAAAGATAGGTTCCAAAATTGTAGATGCGACCAAAGGTTAATGTTATGAATGATTCCCCTTGAGGGAGCAAAACACCAGTTCCAACCTCTTCTCAACCAAGTTCCCAAGCCGACTCTTCGGCTAAGCACGCAGGTGACTCATCACCTTTTCATCTCATGGCCGCACCACGAATCGGTTCAAGGGGCCCCTGGTTTTGGGCCACACGCCAGGCAAAAGCATGCATCAAGAGTTCACCTGAGAGACAAGGGCATTGGATTGAATTAAAGAATCACTGGATGAAATCTGATGACTTGCATTACCCGAAAAGTTTTCTGAACTCTTGACATCATGCGCCTTAGCACTGAGTTGCTGAATAGGTGATCCTTTGGCTTTCTTCTCTTTACGTGAAGACTGTACGAAATTGGGATCAAATTTCAGCATCCAAATTCTGCGCTTGAAAAAGTAGGACATAGATGTCCTGCATTCTGGCTTCTTCTTTGTCATGCAATCAGCTAAGTTCCAATCGCTAGCTAGCCACATCAAACGTGTGCCACACCTTGGCAAGGCTTCTTTGAGTTGCCATGCTTGGAGTGCAGCTCTAGTATTGGAAAGGCCTAAGAGAGGGCTCTCATTCACTATGATACTGTCGTATCCACCCTTTGAATCCGTGACAAGCAAACCGGTCACTTGACAAACTTCCAATTCAGAGGCTTCTAAGACAGCTTTCTGGATATTGTATGTTCCACCACCATTGATTTCAACCCAGAGCAAACGTGAACGAAAAAGAACATCCTCAGCTTCAACTAGTGATTGGACTTCGGCATCGTTCGTTCCGATGGCCACTCGTTGCAACTTCCAGGATCGCCAACTTACCAGAACCATGGGAGCTGGTAGGCCAATTGACAAATCAGAGTTACTAAGAAAAATCAACAACCCTCCAGTACTGCCACCCTTTGGTCTATTGAGGTGAGCTTGGTCTCCCAAACCTACAAACACCATTTCCGTCCAATGTTTGACTTTGGGTAACTTGAAAAATTTCAAAACAGTACTTGATTGTCGAACTTCTTTGATCATTTCCTGGATCTCCTGAGCAAGCTGGATCTTTGGAGAATGCGCCAACTCAGTCAGGAGTAGATTGCATCGTGCACAAAGTAGCGGTTGAGTCTGGACTGCAACCCATTGTAGAGCACCTAGAGCTCCACGACATGCTGTGATCTCATTGGACTGCATGAGTTCTTGCGACTGAGAAAAACGTTGAGGATCTATTTGAACATCTTCCAACATCTCGATGTAAAAATTCTGATCAACAACAAGACAACGGCCATACACAGGGTCAGTTTCCATATGTAAATCAGTTCCAGCATGGCGATATTCGTTTTTCTTTGCAAGTCCCCATTTCCATTTCTTATCTATTTCGGATCTTATTTTGAGCCACCTTGGGTCCTTCATGTCACCAGAGCGATGAAAATCGTCAACGTGACCTGCCATAAAACCAAGAGTTTTCCAGCGAAAATTGGGATCACCAGGCTTGAAACGTTCATCTTCAGGAACTCGCCAGAGCCAAAAACAAGCATCACATTTGATCTTGGTGGCATTGAGCTGTTTCAAAGAGTCATCTACGTTTTTCCATAGGTTACGAGGTGCTGTTGTTGAACCGTAGAAATCTTTGAGAATTCGCATGACACCGTTTTCAGGAATGTTCAAAGCTTGTCTAAGTTCACTGACTCCAGTTGTCCACAAACGTTTGGCTTCTTCAGAAGGCAATGTTTGAAGAAAAGCAGTGCTCATATCTATTCCTTCTATATCCCAATCATTCTGCATGACCAATTGATAGCTCAAATTTCGCGTGAGGACCGATTGAACAGGAGAGGCTGTTTTGTAATCCTCAGACAACAAATCAGGGTGCTCAAAACCGAGCAACACAATCCTCGCCTTAGCTTTCTTCGAGGCATCTTTGGTCAAAGTGGTGCTCTCTGGTTTTTCTCGAAGTTCTTGTTGGGCTTCCTGTAGAGATTCTGCTGGTGTGTGCTTCCAAGTCAGCACCCACCTGCACCTCATGAGTCTGCCACTGGAACGAGCCTCTTGCTCTTCTAGTGCATTTTCACAACGACGCACCGCCTGATTTTGCAGAAAGGAGTTGACTTCTTTCAACTTAGCACGTTTGAACAATTCACGATGTTCAGGACGAAGTTTTTCCAAACGTACTTCGCAATCTCTGAGTTTTTGTGCTAAATATAAACTGGGGTGATCAACAAACTTCTGCACTTGATGTGACGATGAAACATCGATTTCAACTTCCAAAACATAGAGCTCTTCAATCATGTCTAGGAGGTGCATGTCAAAGGAACCATCTAGCAAAGTTACTGAACCAGCATCCGTGCGAGGCTTCTTACTCTCAGGCTCAGTGGTGGCGCCATCATCCAAAAGCGCATGGCGAGAGCTAGAAGACTTCGCCTCACCAGAAGGAATACCACTACCAAGACCACTACCACGATCATTACCAACTTCATCCAGAGGATCAGGAGAGCTTGCAAAAGATGGAGAATAATCGTTGGCTGGCAAAGGTTCAGCATCAAGAACTGAAGGAACGGTTGAGTGAACTTTCACATACCTCAAATTTGATGGAATTTCCACTGCAGTATCACCTAGATCTGGAGGACTTTTGAAACTGTGCCGAAAACGTGGCAACTGAGTGCTAGGATCAGGTTCATCGGGAAGGAAAGGTCTTTCTTCTTCATCATCACCAGGTTCATCGTCAGCCATGTCAATGAAAGATCTCTTGGGTAACATGTCGCTCAAACTTTTCCAAGTGTCAGATTTTTCAGGACTGTGAAGTTCATATTCCAGTTTTTCCTGTGTTGTAACACGCCTAACACTGTGAACACTACAGCGATGCATGGTACCTGCAACAATCACCCACACGATATGACGACGAGAATCTTCGGCATGCTGATCATGCAAAATTTCATGAAAAACTACACGACCAGGACCAAGCCATTGAGAGCGGCTTGCCTTTTTCATACCTCCCCGTGGACCTTTGTCTAAGCCCTGTTTTCGCCAAATCTTCACCAAATCCATAGGATGAAAAACTTGAAGTGGCTGTCGCACCTTCGAGTTGTTGAGTTTGGTCAGAGTGCGCTGAGCCTTGACCTTTCGGGCAACATCCTCGGCAAATTGACGCCGTTGAAGAAGACTTGTGAAGTCACGCTGTGGACTTTCAGCAGTGGCATGTTGCAAACTACGCTCATCTTCTTCAGTCAGAGTTTCTTGACGACCATAGACCCACTGCACAGGAGTAAAGCCCTGTACAAATTCTGTTGAGTTCAGGGCATAGGTTGCCAAAGAAAACACAATCTGTGGCGACAAATCTTTGTTGGAGAGGAAAATTTTCGAGGCCACATCCTTGACTTCTTGTATAGCACGTTCTACAAGTCCGTGAGCCCAACTCTCCTTGGCAGCCGGTGGTTCAACCAAAATGTTCAAGTTGGAGAGAGTGTCTTTCATCTTTTGAGAAATCATAGTTGATGAGTTGTCAGGCACCAGAACTTTCGGTTTTGGTTTGTCCTGAAGCCAAAGCTGTGTTAAAAGCTTGCAACAACATCTCAGAGTTCTCGGATTCCATCTTTGAGGCATCATAGGATTTCAAAATGGATGTGCATTTGAACTTGGTGGCTAGGTCCATGAAAACAACAATCTTGTGCTTTTCCTTAGAACCAGGTGGATGCCATTCGCTAACATCCAAACCAACAACTTCCCAGGCGGCCGGAAGTGGTCGCATTGAGGCTGGAGGAATTTTTCCACTACTCTCACCACCCAACTTCAGAGCAGCACAATCTTCACATCGAAGATCATAGGCGGCTTGCACTTGCCACTTTGGACGCCCAGCATCACGCAAGATTCTAGCCAGGTTATAATTGTTGGGGTGCCCAGCAGCGCGGTGATATTTCAGCAATTGCACATTCCATCGTGATCGTTCTTGTTCACTAGGTTCTTCGCCTTCCACAGGCATGAATTCAAAAAGACCCAAGGAGTGAAGAGCATCTTCTGGAGGATCATCTAGAGGTACAGGGGCATGTAAATAATGAAGCCATTTTTCGGGATACAGCTCGGATCTCCACAACTGTGCAACAGATTTGCAAAGGTTCCATGGATAATAAGCCGATCTTGAAGTCTCTACCCCTTGTACTCTATCGTGATCATGACATCCAGTGCATGTTTTCGATTTATACGTGGAATAAAAACGTTGTGATGTTGTACCTATAGACCAGGATTTTCGTAGAAACTTCCCTTGAGCAGACTTGAGACCGTATCTACAACCATCTACTCTGCCATAGTTCCAATCCCTGCCCAAACGTTGAAGACCACGCACCAACCGAAGAAATTCTGCATCCTCCCAACCATAACAACGTGTTGGCCACTCCCAAAATAATTCCACATTGTCATCTTGTTCCAAAACTTCCAGTAAAAAGGGAATCAATAATCGAAACATGGCTCGTTCACGTCTTCGATGTTGGGCTAAGCGTGATTTCTCCTCTTCAGTGCGATAGTTCAAAGAAGTGAATGGACACCAATAGGTACATCTGGTTGAAACCCACAAACGTTTTGGTTTTTCTTTTTGATACTTCTCTCGCAGCATGTCATAGGTATCCTTCCGATACAAATCGAAACCTTGTTGCAAATTAATCCTAGACATTCTCAAACCTTCGGAACGACAAGCTGAAGTGAGCCAGCTTTCTGGAGCGCAAAAGAACTCCCAGCCATCAACATGTTCACCATGGAGAAAATCTCTGAGCTGGGTCTGTGCGGTCAAAGTCAACATTGTAAGAAGGGTCATAGCAGCTTTCAGAATCTTCCAAGGCAAAGCAAATTGAGATTCCTTGAAGCTACCAGAGTGAGCCTTCTTGGAGTCGTTGTGCAAACGTTGTGGCACTGTCTTGCCAGCTGTACTTGATTGTTCAATCAAACTTGCATGGAACTTTTTCAAATTCTTTTTCTTTTTGTTTTTGAGATTTTTCTGTTTGTTGGACTTGTCCTCGGACTGCATAGAGTTGAAACACATCATGCATTCGATCTCAACTGCTGCGGCCTGCATATCTTCAAAAGAGGGCGCTGCAGTGAAAACATCATTGTCATGCATGGACTCAGTCTCTAACTCCACATCAAAAGTGACACCCTTGACATTCTCAGGAGCGTCCAAGGTGAAGTTGAGATAGTCCTCACCGTTGCCACTGGCCATCATGGCATGGTTCCCCTCTGAGGGGTCACAAACTCGGCATCCGGATCGTCGATCTGAGCTGCTTCCTTGTTCTTGCGCTCTTCCACCACTGATAGGATCTTGGCTTTCTCCTCTTCGGTGAGGTAGCCCATGAGCTCGGTCTCCTCCTTCTTGATCAGCATGTCCTTGGTGGATGAGGCACTTGGATCCATCTTCAAGGTTTTCTGGTAGCGATGTTCGAGGGCCATCGCCTGCTCTTCCAGATGCATCAGCTGATATTTGAGACCTGAGATCTTTTGACCCGTCTCCATCAATTCCAGCAGCAGTTCGAAGAGAGCACGATTGGGCAATTTGCCCTGAGGACGAAGATCCATCTCCAGCTGGTTCATCACATTGGTCACCAGCTTCATGTCGAGCTTCTGCACATTCTTGCCCAGGCTGCTCACTCGGGGGACATATGAAGTCCGAAGCCCGCAAATTCCGCAGTGCTTCCACAGGCCGTGGTTGTTGGATCCGGTCTCGAAGCTCCCGTGCTTGTTGAAACAAGGCCAGCACTTTGGTGAGCATCGGGGATCTTCCGGATCTGGTCCCCGTTCGCGAGGGTGATCCAAGGGCGCAGCCGCCTTGGACTTGGTCGCCATGAGTCACAGACGAGGTGATGTCAGAACCTTGAGGGTCTTGAGGACCAGGTGCTGCTGAGAATGGTGCAGCTTGTTGAATGGCCAAACGACGGTGCACAAATGAGTCGAAAAGAGTTCTTCTACTATCGTCATCTTTGATACCATGGTTTCCAGAAAAAACTGCAAAAGACCCATGTTGTTGGTGCATCGCTAGTTCAAACCAAGGCCACTCGGAATCCCCAGGCACCTCGGCAAAAGACTCTGCTGTGAGCTGCTGCAACATCGCAGCCTCAGAGTCAGCCGTGCTGCCAAACATGTAGTTGACAATGTTCACCATGAAGTGACCCTTGAAGTTCTGTTCCATCTTGTAGGGTACCGGTTGAAGATCGTTACCATGAACTGCATGACCATCACAAAAATCTAAGATCAAACCAGTTTTGCGTAAGTGATCCATGCCAACCAGAATAGGGACCAACATATCCTCAGTATACCATGACTCATAAAATTCAGGGGGGTTCTCCAAGACGTTCATCTCAAAACTGCGATATGGTGAAGTTGATGATGTGACCACAGCATGATATAGTGCTTGACCCCATTTCCCAGACCCATAGCGAAAGAATGGTCGCCGCTCATAGTTTAACTCAACCAGTAGTGAAGCATCAAAGGCACGCAAATGGGAAATGAGCTTCTTCGCTGAAGCTTCAGGACCAGCAGAAGCAGTGGCACCACAATCCAACATTCCATATCCCAGTGGAACAACCGTTCGAGGACCAGTTGAAGGGTTTTGAATCGTCTCCATCATTTCCATAGGGTAATAGTCCATATTGAAGTCCATGCCATACATGTTTACTGAAGGCTTTGACTTACCCTTTTGTTTCCCTTTACCTTTTGACATTGCAAAACCATCATACGGCCAAGAACCATATGCCACATTGGCCATACCATCTTTGAATTTCCCTTTGAACCCTTTTCCCCCTTTTGTCCTGTTGGTCAAAAAGGCGTCGAGTTCAGCCTGAGACAGATGCTTGCCAGAGCCCTTGCGCAAGGACGGATGACCTCTGTCAGGGCAATCTTTCTGGAGATGGGGTCCACCACAAATGAAACATCCACTACCCTTACCAGATGATGAGCTACCAGATTTGCCAAAACCACGGTCACGGCGCAGATTGGCAGTGGCTTGCTGCGCTTGCGACCATGTTCGCCGGGCCTCCATCGCAAGGACTTCGGCGGCACGCTCAGCTTCAAGAGCATCTTTCATGGCATCATCCGGTTCTTCATCCAAGGCAGGAGACTCATCAGCATGGTGAGCCTGAGCTTCCCAATCATCCCAGTATCCAGAATTCCAGTCATCAGAGGGCCAATCGCCTTGCCAAGCTTGATAATTGTCATAGTTCCAGTCATCATCATAGGAACCCTCAGTCCAGAAATGTTGATGATGAGATGGAAAGGCCGTAGACGTCCACTTACCTGCACCCATCTGTTCATCCCATAAGGTTTGCAAAGCATCAGACACACTCAAATAGTCCAGTTTGTTGTTGGTTGTAGCTAAGACATCACGCCATTCATCAGAAGATACCGAAGCAGCTACCAACAACCGCCATCCCCTCAAAACATCGAGAATGAAGGTATCCATAGGACTCAATGGTTCCGGCTTGACAGACTTCTTTGGTGAAATAGATGCAGTATGATGGACACTCCTGGCAGGGGACGGATCGGGATCAGCTGGAGCACTGCGACGCCCAGGATCAGATTTCGTCTCAGATTGCGGCACTTGCTCATACTCAGCCGCATCAGGACGATGTTCAGCGGCTTCGCCATCAGGCTCAGAACCACGATCCGACCAGCGCTGCCATCCACGCCAATCATCGCGACGTTGCCAATGTCGCCAGTTGTCATCCTCATCCAAGGAGCCAGTCAATTCCGGCAGGTCAAAGATACGCTCTGCAGGGTCTATGCCATCACGCTCATCCTTGAGCTGCAGGAGGGCTTCTTGGAATTCTTCGAAGCCAAGGGTTTCCCTGACCAAAAATTGGCCAATGGTTTCATTGGGGCGCTTTCTAAATCCAAAATACTCATTCATGATTGCAGCAGCATTAGGAAGGGACCTTCTGACCAGTGGAGAGGAAGCTAATCTCCTCAGTAAAAGTGTCACACCTTGCTCGCCATCAAATTCCCTTTGGGACCATGACATCGCTAACAGTCGTGCACTTCCAGTCAAACGGCTAACCAGTTTGCTAGCTGTATAGCGTCTTTGCGAGGCTTTTGTCGAACCAACAAACCAACCCACTTCCTTACAGTATCTCCTCCATGTTCTATTGGAACCATCCCAGGAAGGAATCGCAGCATCACTTTTCGCTTGTTGCGAAGACATGACCACCACGGAGCTACGCAGGGAGCAAATGGCTCTGGAGCGAACACCGTCGCTCCGCTACCAATGCAGGTAGCCGGCAGCGACTGCAATCCAAAAAGATAGGTTCCAAAATTGTAGATGCGACCAAAGATTAATGTTATGAATGATTCCCCTTGAGGGAGCAAAACACCAGTTCCAGCCTCCTTCTCAACCAAGTTCCCAAGCCGACTCTTCGGCTAAGCGCACAGGTGACTCTTCACCTTTTTCACATGGCCGCACCACGTAACGGTTCAAGGGGCCCCTGGTTTTGGGCCACACGCCAGGCAAAAGCATGCATCAAGAGTTCACCTGAGAGACAAGGGCATTGGATTGAATTAAAGAATCACTGGATGAAATCTGATGACTTGCAGTAACCCCATTTAAAATTTAAGGAAACTCCCATATGATCATACACGGTACCTTTGTTTTCACGGTGCAGGGGGAAAATGGGGCGTTGTTGCCAACCCTAAAGTTGGTTTCTAATGAGTGGATACCCATGGATACCCTCTGGCAGTTTCACAACTTTTCACATAGCTATGGGAAATCAATGGGAAATCACCATTTTTAATTGGTAAATCAACTATTTCTATGGCCATTTTTTCAGTAGGCCATTTTTTCAGTAAAAATCAACGTTTTTTTTTTCCGATCCGCTCGGGATGGAGAAGGGTCCTGGGTCGGAACCCGGGCATGCAGGCGTCCCTGCCAAGGCTTCATAATTGCTACTTTATGGTTCAAAATGTCAAGGAAAAGTTGTGCTTAGAGGTCTACAAGAATTATGACCCAGAAGTCAGGATGCTATTTCCCCTACAATTCCTACAAACATAGCTTTACTGTGATTCAAGTATAGAATTCAAATGAACTTACGAAAAAGTCAATCATTTACCCGTCATTTTACCACCCCAAACCCAGCTGCTTGAATCCTGAGTTTCTGTGGCAAAAAATCACCTGAAAATTTGGAATGGCACCATCCTCCATGTCTGGGATGATTGATGGTATTTGATGGTTACCCTCTGGTAATGACTGTTACATAGCTATTGAAAATGGCCATAGAAATAGTGGATTTTCCCATGAAAAATGGTGATGTTCCCATCAGTTATGTTAAATTACCAGAGGGTAAACCAAATCTTGGATGGCTTGCCACCCTCAACTTTTGGTCGCTGGATGGTCCACAATGTTTGCTGCTAAAACATGCTAAAACATGCTAAAACCGTTTTTTGTTGATATCAGAATCCTCCATTGTTTGATATCAAATGTGGATCAAGATTACCATCCAATCACATTAATAAAATCCACATGTGGATAAACATTACTATAATATATTATACTTGCTAGATGTGGATAAATCATAAACTTACTGGTGCGTTTTACGCAGGGAATTTTCGGGAATGAGCCATTTCATCACTATCAATAATCATCCCAGCAACCCCCAGCAACCCATCCATTCTCTACATTTCCCTACGTTTAGCACCAGTAAGTAAAATGTAAAATCCATGTTTCCAATACCCTCTGGTTATGACTAACATAGCCATGGAAAATCCCAACCATAAATGGAGGTTTCTAGCTGGGAAAATCATCTATTTCTATGGGCCATCTATACCATGGCTATGTTAAATTACCAGAGGGTAAATCATCAGTTTTATCATCTAGTTCTAGGGTATATTCCCAATTATAGCCATTTAAAAACATTTAAAAACGGGATAATGATCAGCAAAACCATTGGGTTGATTGTCCTACACAACATTTTCAGACAAACCCCTCGCCTCGGTCCGTGGGTCGGGACGATTTTGGATCCTGGCGCTGGGATGGTGCGCTTTAAAAGCTGGCTGGAATTTTTGGGATCGAACCATGAACGAAACATAGCATGATTTAATGGGGTTTAATGGGATCTAATGGGATTTAATGGAATTCAATGGAATTTTGGGATCTAACCATTAGAAACATGGTTCTATTTAGATGGAATATACTGTTAATAATGGTTAATATATGGTTAATATATGGTTATTATATGGCTAATGATGGTTAATAATACTCTGGTTGGTGGTTTTTCGCAAAACCCCTCTGAAAAATATGAGTTCGTCAGTTGGGATGATGACATTCCCAAGATATGGAAAGTCATAAAATTATATAAAATTCATGTTCCAAACCACCAACCAGTACTCATTTGGTCATTGTGGAATGTACATGAGATCTGGGTAAATTATAATGTTTCACTAACCTGAATTGTTCGGCCATAAAAGGGGATGATTTCCCTTATTAGCCATAGGTCCAGTGAGGGAGAACAGTGAGGTCGTTATTATTTAGCCAGATGAGATAGATATATTTGGCATAATTTGAGAATTGGGTGTATATCACCAACGAACTTGAGATATTTTTAAGGGTGGTTCTTTAGATGGGACCCCACAAGCACCCAAAATGGATCATTAAACAAATGCGGATACCAGTTGCTTGGGGTATTCAATTTTCGCGAAACACCCGGGGTGTAGCAGAGTTGTGACTACTGAAAAAAGAACTTGATGATTTGGCCAAGAAATTCTGGGATAAATTTGGTGGTAAGCAGGATCAGTCGTGGCAGTTGGGCATAGCTCTTGACTTCCCGAATCAACGTGAAAGTGGAATCCCAGTTTGTAGTAGGGGCCCCAATCGAGCACAGCTCATGGATCAAGCAGAGGCAACGCCGACCAAAGTCAATAGCCTCCCCCCAAAAGAAAATGATTGGAACAGCACTCAGTCGAGACCAGTTCACCTGGCACTGTAAAATCCACGAAAATCATCGAAAATGCTTGATCGTCAATTGAAACACTATCTACTATTGGGATGTTTCAGGGGTTTTCTCCCGAAAACAATTCCTTTAAAGAAACCAGCTCAGGCGGATTTTGGAGCGGTTCACTTTTGGGAAACACCAAGTTTTTGAGACTTGCACAGCGTGTGCGTGGGTCATCGCCACATTTGTCTGGATATATTGCAATAATTCACAGCACTGAAATGAGGCTATGTTGGGACAGTTAATCCGAAAGAAACCATCATTGCAGTGATGGCTTTTTACCAGTTATAAGTCAGTTATAACCCCATTTATGGAATGATAACCCCGTTATAATAGGTTTCTAGGGCTTTAAGTCTAGAGGTTGTTATACGTCATCCAGATTCAGGCATGTGCGTACCCTCTTGCACCGATAGGCCTTGCCAAAGGTACAGTGTATTGAAATCAGGGTCGCAGACCTATCAGTGACTATGGCCATGCCAATTCATAAACGTGGTTGGCTTCCCCAATCAGATGCCAAGATAGACAAAAACAATTTGTCTCAAAGTGTTGCATACCCCAAAAAATAATCTGATTTTACCGGGGTAATTGATGATAAACCAATATAAACCACTGGGAGGAGGTGTTCCCATGCCCAACATTCTCAGACACCCCCATGGGCCATTGGGAATATGATTGCCATGGCATGCCATGCGACTAGCCATTCCTGGGTCCTCATGTTCGTTTACAGCTTGGGTAGAACCCTATTTTTGTTCATGAGAAACCCTGCTATCATTCCATGAAATACTGGTTGGTTAGGGATTCCCATACCCTCTGGTAATTTAACATAACTATGGAAAATCACCATGCTTAATGGGAAAATCCACTATAAATGGCCATTTTCAATAGCTATGTTAGTTTACCAGAGGGTAATGGATGATGACAATCCCAAATATATTGGGTGGTATCACCCACAATCATCAACCAACAGGGAGTTAGCAGCCTCTGCGAAAAACTGTCAATGGTTATTTCAAGGGGTTGTGACTCATCTGATTGATTGGGATTATATAAGTAACTATAACTATATATACTATATACAGTAAATATGATAGTACTATATATAGTTACTTATTATATATATATATTATATATATATTATATATATACATAGATAACTATATCATTCACCGTATTTTACCCTTAATTTTCACATACCCGTCCTTTGACTCAGACGACAAACCGCGCCTTCCATCCTCGTGTCTCCGCATGACCTCCTCCAAAAACTGCCCGAAATCGTCACCTGGGGCGGGGTCTATGCAACGTTTGCGATTTCGCAAACATCCAAAGATTTTGGTTGCATTTCAAGAACATCCCCGAAATGAAAAGAATGGTCAATGCGGGTTTACCCTCTGGTAATGACTGTTACATAGCTATTGAAAATGGCCATAGAAATAGTTGATGTACCTATTAAAAATGGTGATTTTCATTGGTTTTCCATAGCTATGTTAGTTTACCAGAGGTGGGGACTTCACCCCATGAAACCACCAAGCCATTTGTCATTCTCTCTGGACTACACCTCCATTTTGATGCATGGATGCCATGAAAAATCACCACTTTAATACATCATGACTGATCAACTGTTTTACTGGTGAATTTGCGCACCCTCTGGTAAACTAACATGGCTATGGAGGATCACCATTTTTAATGGGTAAATCCACTATTTCTATGGCCATGTTCCATAGCAAACTGTTAAATTGCTGGAGGGTGAACCTGTACCCTCTACAAAAACGGCCATGCAGCGAGGAGTTGGTTAGTTGGTTCAGTTTCACCCATCGAACTGACTTTGGAATAGATATATCCACCATAAAACACAGCGGCTAAGTGTGTATAAATCACCAGAAACCTATCATAAATATTCATAAATTGATTTTACTTCACTCGCTTTCGTAGTTATTTTCATCCATTTTCCGTGCTTTTGGACATCCAAATTTTCCTGCTGTGAACCACCCTGTCATAAATTAATTCTAAGTCTTCTTGGTTGAATATCCATTTTTGGTGGAGACAAACCGGTAAATGTGTTTGTTTGAAAAAAGGTATAGCCATGTATAGCCTATTTAATTGGGAAAAGGAATCATCGGCCATCAAGTTTGGGGGTATCCCATTTTTCCAGACATACCTACAGGATGGGGAAAACCAGTGACGTTTGTTGGTTTATAAACCATTATAACCCCCGTTAACTACTGGTTGGTGGTTTCAACCCCTCTGAAAAATATTAGTCAATGGGAAGGATTATCCATTCATATTGTGGAAAATAATCCAAATGTTTGAAACCACCAACCAGAGTAAGTCGTTTTGATCCCTTACCCTTTGGTAATGACTAACATAACTATGGAACATCACCATTAGTTCGAGATTTTTCCCATGAAAAATGATGATTTTCCATAGTTATGTAAACGTTTACCAGAGTGTACCTATCATAATTTATGAAAAAATTGTCCCTATGTTTCTTGATGATTACATATCCATTTTTGGTGGATAACAATAGTTGTATGATGATGGGGTGATTATATATCCGATATCTCCATTACATCTCCATTACATACCCCTTTGTTGATCGTTCATCATTGTTCAAATCCCATTATATCCCCTTCTTCTCCCCTCCAAAAAAAAAACATAAAACCCCACGAAACAAAAGAACCATTAAATCCCCATGAAGAATCTGAGTCAAGACCATTCAAATCACACAAATCGTGTTGGTGAAATCACCAGTTTGTTCTTGCAAAGTGGGGAAAATAGTAACAAGTTGGTAAAGCCATCTAACTATAGGTATACCTACTATACCACTATATACATCAAGTTGGTTTATAAACCCATCTAACTATAGGTATACCTACTATAAACCCCAGTGATCAAAGTTGTAAACCAAGTTAGCTATAGTTAGCAAACTCTGGGGCCCCACCTCCTGGGAAATCCGTCCGAAAAGCTGGGAGAAATTCGCTCATTCATTTGTATCCGAGCCACGGGTCACGCACCATCTGGAAGCTGGTACGCCATAGTGCAGACCTAAGCGCCCCGCGCCGCTGGGTGGTTCAAATACCAAGGGATAGGTTGGTGATATACTGAGGATACTAGCTAAATATTGGGATAATGATATACAACAGGAACATACAGGAACATTGACTGACAGGTTTACATTACACATAATCTCCAAATGGATACACCTTGTTGTTTCTTCTCCATGGCCATGTTGAATTGCTGGACATTTGAATTGTAAAGGGAGGCCAACCAACATCTTGATGGACTGAACCCATTTTTAATGTTTGCGTCCCAATTTCTGTTGGCAATCATCTTTTGGTGATGTCAATAATATCATCATCTTCTGACCCTTCGATGCACTCTTAAGCAACCCTTTTATCTAGCAGTATCCACCTGTCGTTTGGACAGCTACTCATTTATCATGGTCCGGGAATTGACTTCCATCCCGTTTTTTTTTCAGGTGTAACCTCTGTTTCTGATAGCTGGGTTTGTCTGAAAATCGGATACAGGATACCCCAAAACCGCAATGGTTGATAAAAACAAGTTTTCCGATCAAATTTGTCGTGTATTTGGGGTATCTCACGGTATCTCCTATTTTCTGGGCAAACCCCATATGAGGCAAATTCAATTTTTGGATTAATCCCTTTTTTCTTTGCTTAAAATCCAAATTTCTTGGTGATCCTCCTTCATAAAAATCTTCATGTCCATTGCCAATCTTCGATACCTGGCAAAAAATTAAGTTCTTTGCTGATTAGATATTCCCATTGATACCAAAAGACTAAAGTATCATCAAGTATCCATCCAAGATTGCCCTAGTGTCTGATGAATTTCAACTCTGCTTCCTGAAAATCATCATTTCTGACGGGTGTAAATCCCATTTCTGATGGTGAAATCCCACAGTATAACTGGGCTCTTTCCACATAGAGATGTAAATGATTTAACCAACCACCCCGCAGCTCGGTGATCCCGAACTATAAAAGATGCTTGAGATTCCCCTTACCCGGCCTGGTAATGACGGACTAACAGTTTGCGAACTGGAAGCCATGGCCCAGTCGAAATAGGGAGTTTTCCCATTAACAATGGTGATGTTCCATCGTTATGGTAACGTTTACCAGAGGAAAATCACCATTTCATGGGATAAATCCACTATTTCGACTGGGCCATTTTCCAGTTCGCTATGTAACAGTCATTACCAGGTAATTGGGATAGTGATAGGGTCATCCATTGGAACTGGAGTTTTCAGATTTTCAGACAATCCATGAATGATGATTTTCCATAGATTTTTGTATGTTTACCCTCTGGTAATTTAACATAGCTATTGAAAATGACCATAGAAATAGTGGATTTACCCATTGAAAATGGTGATTTTCCATGGTGATGTTAGTTTGCCAGAGGGTACCAGGCCGGGTATAAAAAAGAGGTTCTTGGTGGTTCAGATTCGCCGAATTATCCATCAACCCACCATCAGAGATTGGTGGTTTCATCCCAACATCCCATGGGTGGCTCATCCCAACATGGAATCCCCAACATACCCTCTGGTAATTTAACATAGCTATTGAAAATCACCATTTTTAATGGGAAAATATACTATAAATGGTCATTTTCAATAGCTACGTTAAATTACCAGAGGGTATCTCCATTATGCTTGGATAAAAATCGCCTTTTTTTGGCTGTAATATCCCCAGTTATTCCATCATTTGTTGGTTACTGTAACCCCTCATGTGTTCATGATTCCAATCCGTTATAATCTCATTGTATCCCCATGATGTCTCACAAAAACCACCATTGAATCAACATGAAATCCCAGAAAATCTCCATGTTTCGTGGTTGAATCCCAGAAATTCCCCAGTAAATTCCATTAAATCACCGTTTTGTTTGCAGTTAAATCACTATGTAAATCCCAGAAAATCCCCACGATTCTTGGTGAAATCCCATCATTTCTTGGTGAAATCTCCATTGCAGCCAGGTGACGTAGACCTTCCTCGTAGTCCACGGCCATGCCGTCGTAGAGCCAGGCAAACCTCGGGACGTTCGGGGCGGCGCACAGGAACGACAGGCAGAAAAGATGGGAACGGGGAGCAAAATGATGGTTGTAGAATGTTGGATATATATATATATATACATATTGTATATTATATATATATATATATATTGTATTCTATATGTATACATATTGTATTATATGTATATTGTAATATATACATATATATATATTTATATGATATGTGTATTGTATTATATATATATATATATTTTTGTGCGGGGGGGCAGGTCACTTGTTAAACACTCAGCTTGCCGAGGTGGCAACCAGAGTTTTCTTTGCAACCTCAGTTTACTTCGCATCAGCTTTTTGGGCAACGCCAGTCGGCACCAGCTTCAGATATGGAGCCTTGAGGCTGGATGGCACCCGAAACGAGTCGAGCGAGTTGAGCCACTTTGAAGTGGCAAGATGAAGCAAAGGCTGACCAGTTCTCGACCGCACATGATGCAATTCTTCAGGGCATGTTTGCAGGGGCGCAGGGGCGAACAGTTGACACCCCTTTGCGAATGAGGTGCCCATGGTCTTTTTCTGGAGGATGATCCACTACCCTCTGGTAATTTAACATAGCTATTGAAAATGGCCCAGTCGAAATAGTTGATTTACCCATAAAAAATGGTGATTTTCCATAGCTATGTTAGTTTACCAGAGGGTACTGTCCCATTGCCAGTGCAAAAACCCATGGCGTTTTGGACCTGGACGGCGCCTCCGTAGCAAGGCCTCTACTTGTCAATGGATTGGTTTTGACGGGAAAATTTTAACCGGAAAGCCCCATGATCTTAATGGGAAAATCACTCTGGTTTCCGGTTAAGATTTTCCCGTGAAAACCAATCCATTGAACTTGGTGGTTTCAACCTACCACTCTGAAAAATATATGAAAGTCAAATGGGAATGGGATTATGACATTCCCAATATATGGAAAAATAATCCAAATGTTCCAAGCCACCAACCAGGCCTTTTACCAGTTGTCCATTTTGGCTGGGTTATCATGGCTAACTTTAGATGCCCAGCAACAAAAATGTTCCTTTTTAGCTGGTGATCATGTTCCCCCATGTATCGCGAAAAAACGATAAAACTTGTCAGTTTACCAATTAATTATAAAGCATGTCACCATGGTGGTTGGTTAACCCCCCAGTTATCGTAGGTGACATTTCATTGCACTTGTTGTGTATATATAACCAATGTTTACGCACTGATTACTTGGATGTGCATCACAGATAGTAAGTGGTTTACACACTATATACTGCATATCCCACATATCACTGGAGATTGTCCATATACATCACTAGGCCATAACTGTTCTCGTTCTTAGCTCCTTACTATTCCTGGGATGCAGCCCTTACATCCCCTTACCGTTGGATGTCGAATGATCAGCCTGGAGACAGCTTGCTGGTGTCTATGATGCCATAGTCATCCACCAGAAACTCACAAACTTTGATGGCCTCAGCAGCCATCGGCAGCGATCGCTGGGAAGTCAAGGGAAACAAAACGGTCGGACCTGAGCGAAACAGAAACAACAGAAACAGAAACAGAAGCTGCTATAAATATTTATAAATCAATACAGGTTATTAATTTCTGGATAATTGTTTTTGGAAACCAAGCTGTGTGTTTGGTTCAAAGAATGCAACATTTTGCTGCAAAGCCAGACAAATCCTGCAAGGCCAGGATCAGTTCCCAAAGGGTCTATAGCAGTTCTTAGCTCAGTAGAATGATAAGCCCCTATGAAAAACAAACGGGTTGTGACCTCAATCAACTTTAAAATCTTCAAATTACCCAAGTGAAAAATCTGCAAATCTTCCATGTGATTTCCTGGTGTTTCACCAGGCGGCAACCATGTCCATTTTCCCCATGAGAAATCCCCACTACGGTTGGTCTCATAGCACCGTGGTTGGTGGTTTCAACCTACCCCTCTGAAAAATGATGGAGTTCGTCAGTTGGGATTATGAAATTCCCAAGATATGGAAAGTCATCAAAATTCCATGGTTCCAGTCACCACCAACCAGCACCATTCTCGCTGATACATGCTAAGAGAATCTTGCTGAAACCTCTGTGGTGAAATCCACAAAATTTTGAAACCCAGGACTTGGAGTACCCGCGAATCTAACAGTTTGCGAACTGGAAAATGGTCGGTTTAGTTCAATGATTTACCTATTAAAAATGGTGGTCTTTCAGGGCAAACTCGAAGAAATTACCTATACCATTTGGGTTGGTTATACAGTATTCCTATTTACTCCTAATATACCCCGATAGTTGGTCAAATCCCACTAAATGACCATGAAATCCCACTACATCCTATTAAAATCTATTACCCTCTGGTAAACGTTTACATAACTGATGGGAAAATCACCATGTTTAATGGGAAAATCCACTATTTCTATGGGTCATGGCTTCCAGTTCGCAAACTGTAAACGTCATTACCAGAGGGTACATTGATATTAATCCCATTATCAACGACTATTCACCCATGATCAGCCACTATTAATGGAACTTCATTAACTATTTCTATGGCCATTTTCAATAGCTATGTAACAGTCATTACCAGAGGGTAAATCACCATGAAACATTGCCAATCTTACTGTAGATACCCTGCAAATAATTAAATTCTTTGCTGGTGAACGTAGATATTCCCATTAATACCAAAAGACTAGTTAGGATTAAAGTATCCATTAAATATCCAAGTATATACCCATTCAATTCCCATTAAAATCCATTCAATTCCCATTGAATTCCCATTGAATTCCCATTAAATCATCATTTAATTCCCATCAATAGTAGATATTCCCATTAATACCAAAAGACTAAAGTATCCCACTACATCCTATTAAAATCTATGGTAAACCACCATGAAATCCCATCAAATTCCATGAGATCAACATGAACCAAAAACGCGACACCGGGACACCTTGGGCTCCACTTCCAGCTTATGGAAGAAGTCTTCCAGTCGACCTGACACATCGAAATCTGCTCGTGACCTATGAAAACATGTGAAAATGCTGGTTAACATGGTTTAACATGGTTTAATATGCTTGAATATGGGTCTCAAATGGGGAAAAAAAAGGAACCGAAAATTGAGGTTTGGTTCGCTGGGAAAATCATGGAACTGCTGGTGGATTCTCCAGCTAGTCGACTGTGACTAACAGATAGAACAAATGTCCGTTTACTGTCCTACCCTCTGGTAATTTACAAAAAACTGATGGGAAAATCACCATTCTATCAATATGTAAATCCACGAAATTTCTATGGGTCGTGGCTTCCAGTTCGCAAACTGTTAGTCCGTCATTGCCAGGCGGGGTCTCCATTTGAGGGAACTGTAGGGTCCAACCTTTGAGATCCTGAATTCGCGGTGATTTACCCTCTGGTAATGACTGTTACATAGCTAAAATAGCCATAGAAATAGTTAATGAGTTCCATTAATAGTGGCTGATCATGGGTGAATAGTGGTTGATAATGAGATTAATATCAATATACCCTCTGGTAATGACGTTTACAGTTTGCGAACTGGAAAATGACCCATAGAAATAGTGGATTTACATATTATAAGAAATAGTGGATTTACATATTAAAAATTGCCATTTTCAATAGCTATGTTAAATTACCAGAGGGTAAACCATGGTGGGTTTTTGGGGCTGTTGAATAGAAATAGTTGATTTTCCCATTAAACATTGTGATTTTCCATAGATGTAAACGTTTACCAGAGGGTATCCAGTCTCAACTCTTTGGTCAATGTAACCTGCAACAGCAGTTTCAGCTGAGAAGCAAACGATTTGATTGTGTTGCTGAAATTGATATCAATTTAGAACCAACTGTAATTTCTTGTTTTTACAGCTACAGTATCGATAGTTTCTATGAACATGTTCCAATGAAATATCCCCCATTTACACAAAAGAATCGAATCTATGATCAAGCACTACGCCGTAGTGACTTCAAGCCAAAAATGAGCCTTGAACAGCCTACAAAAAGTAAGCTATGTATAAATATGTATATCCTCTGATGGTCAAACATCAGAAAGCTTTGTTTTGGGGCCCGGGGGATCTATTTTCTTCCCTAAAACTCCACCAGATGTGAAAAACCAAGGGATTCCCGGATTCCGCTGGTCAGTTTTCTGCTGGAAAAAGCTGGATGGATTCTCCACCAACGATAGATGGAGGCTAAAAAATGGAAGCCAAACCATCTACAAATAGATAAGTTTCCAATTCCTTCCTGATATTTGGAGCTTTCCTAATGGTACCCCCAAATCCATCCATTTCTGGGATTTTCCCTGATAAACCATCCAGCTATTGGGGGACCCCCATTTGGTGACCCGGACTATACTACCACCTGCCAATCACCCATCCGTGCTGGTTTCTGCCCTGCCAAACTTGGGGGAACTTTGCATTTTTCAGCGGTGTAATGTCAACCCCGGATTAATAAACTGTAGACTGATGATTAATGATTTATAGATGGTTGTAATACAATAGTAATCACCATAATACCATGTTAATCGTTTACTGGTTGGTGGCATACCTACCCCTCTGAAAAAATATTAGTCAGTTGGGATGATTATTCCCAATCTATGGAAAAATAAAAAATGTTCCAAACCACCAACCAGATGTTTATTAGGGGGGTATTCCCCAAAGAGTGATAATCTGATACTTAAATGGTACCCCTCCAATTAAACAGCCTCGGGGTTTATTAATCCAAGGTTGACATTAAATGAATCATTCCAGCCACCTGAAAAAAAAGATGTGAAAGTCATTTTGGATCATATCCTCGAAAAATGTGGAAAACTTAAAACATGCTTGAAACCACTAATCAGTTGTGTAGTGTTCTACAACTTCAGCCGCTTCAGCCGGGGATTTTTTCCCACATAGTTATTACACCCCATGTACATATATTACATATAAGTATATAGTACTGTAATAGGTAATATAGATAATAATCCATAGAATGATAATGATTGTTACTTCGTAGCCATACATGAGTAGTGATAACCCATCAGACTAGAGTAAGAGTACATAACAACAACTCTACATTTCCCTCATCTAATTGAACTACCCTCTGGTAAACATACAAAAAACTATGGAAAATCACCATTCTATCAATGGGTAAATCCACTATTTCTATGGGCCATTTTCAATAGCTATTTTGACATAACCAAAGGGTATTGTATTATTGTCACCCAAGTATAAGTAAAAGAATCCCATCCAATAATATTCACCCCAAAAAACCCACCATGGTTTAGTGATACAAAACACATATGACTGGGACCATACAATGGTGGTGTTTGATATGAACGGGGAATAAGATTAAGAGTCTGATAACAATAATAATAATAAAATATCACCTGCATACCATTAAAATACCAGCTATATATAATATACATATGACCTCTATATATGATATTAAGATTAACTGTAATATATATATACATATCAACTACACGAATACCTCATTATATTACATATTACATATTACATATTACATATTACATATTATAAAGATATTACATATTACATATTACATATTACATATACATATACTAATTATATACTAAAACTATATATACATAGTAACATAACAGCTCCCTTTTATACCAACTGTATTCTTATATTTATAATTCTTAGTTCATGTTATCCATCTTCTCATCATTTTGGTTGCCAAGGTGCTCCATGGCACCAATCCGTCACGTTTCGGCGACAGCTCCTGAAACGCTGCCCGCACCTTTCCCGCCATCCACGCGCGACCGGAAAGGAAGATGTGGAGACCCAAATGTGAAGGATTTTAAGGGATTTTAGAATATGTTAGATAGATTAGAGATGATTTGAGGGTTTCAAGTTTCAAGATGAGTTTTTATGAAAAGAAGGCGCATGATGTTTCAAAAGCTAGCAAATGGTTGGATACCCAGTTCATTCTTGGCTAAACCGCATAATCACCGGGATTTCTGGGATGTTCCAAGCCAAAATCTGTTCAAAAAGCACCAAAAACATCGCCGCTACAGCCGAAAGCGGAGGACAGCGCAAGATGAAGCAGCGACAGCAACAACCACGATTTTTGACCCCCAAAATACAGAGCTCTATATTTGACTTTATCATCCTTATCCCTACTTGTTGGTTCATCCCACTTACTAAGTAGGTTAGTTAGACCCCAGTTTTAATCAATGGGAAATTCAGGATCCTAAAATGGAGGTACTGTACCATAGAAGGCCATATTTTGCTGGGGATATTCCTGACATAGGCCTTATACATGGTACGAGTGGATACCTCCAATTTAGGTTCCTGAAATGGCCATTGATATATTAAATCCATTGGTATTACCCTCTGGTTATGACTAACAGTTCGCCATGGTATAGATGGCCCATAGAAATAGTTGATTTACCTATTAAAATGGTGATTTTCCATGGCTATGTTAAATAACTATATTAAATCCATTGGGGTACCAATGCTAAGCCAACATGGACTTCAACGATTTCCCAGGTTTCTACCTACAGGGCACGTAATAAATCTGCCAACATCTATCCATTGACCATCTGTTTTCATGACAAATCAATGATTTCATGAGTAAAAAACAATAATGTTTGATGGATAATTGATATTTAATAGTTATATATCCATTAGTTATATCCATTAGTCATTAGTCATCTGAAAAAAATGTCCATGAAAGTCAGTCATCAAGTGGCTACTTGTATACATATTATATCATGTATAACCGTCAGTTCTATACCCATTGGTGCTGCCGATTTCATGTTGGGGATGTGTCACGAGAGTCGGCCCAAGAATATGATGGCTTTATGATTAACAAGACTGGATGATTAGTTTTTGATGATTACATTAATTACATTTGATTATGATGGTTGATGATGTTGATGATGATGATGATAGCTTTTATGGTGGCTTTTATGGTGGCTTTTATAATGGCTTTTATGATGGCTTTCATGATGCGTTACGGTTTCAAATACATCAAATTGAACCATTAAGAAGGGAAAGTAAGCGCCGCATAGGACTAGGATGTCGTATGATTTCACCAAATGCCATCGTGGGGGGAGGTTTCTGAAAAACCACTATGGCCATTGCAAAATCAATGGGATTTTCAGGATCCGATTGATTGGAGGTACCGATTCCATATATGTTTGGCCTATTTTTTAGGCCTAAATTTCAGTGAACATCCCCAAAAAAATATGGCCAAAAATATGGTACGTTTACGTACCTCCATCTGTTGGATCCATTTTAGATCTCCCAGCTGCAAAAGGGACGATGATTTTCACCGGTGGATGCAATGGGACTCACTGACAAACGCTAGTCTCAATGGGAGGTTTCTTAAAATGGGGGGTACCCTCTGGTGAACGTTTACATAGCAATGGAAAGATCCACCATTTTTAATGGGAAAATCCACTATTTCTATGGCCATGTTCCATTGCTATGTTAGTTCACCAGAGGGTAAATCACAAATGATTTTCCATGAAATAAACCATCCAGCTATTGGGTACCACCATTTATGGAAACCCCATATACATATTACCATTCTTGCCAATGCAATTTTGACCCACATTGCTAGTTGACTCCCCACGTGAACCATGAAAACTACAGAACAGTTTATCCTACTCTAAGTTGGGTTACAATACCTGTTAAACCAGGGTGTACAATCCACGAAAGCATAACATAAGCAACCAAGAAGACATGTTTTATGGGTTCATGTTTGTTGGTTCAAACTCAATTCTGGTTAGCTGGTTAAACCCTGCTTTTTGTTGGTTATATCCCAATGTGTGTTGGCTAAGCCCCTGTTTTCGTTGGCGAAATCAACTTCTTTTCTGGTTAAACCACAAGGTTTTTGCTGAAAAATCACCCAAGTTTTGCTTCTTTCAATCTCCATTCTTGCTGAAAAACACCTACCCTCTGGTTATGTCAAAATAGCTATTGAAAATGGCAATTGATTTCGTGAGTTTTCCCATTAAAAATGGTGATTTTCCATAGTTATGTAAACGTTTACCAGAGGATATGTTTGTTGCTTAACTTATACCCCAAGTTTCTGTGGTTCAACTCCAAGTTCTTAGGTGAAATCCACACGTGTCTTCGTTCAGTGAAATCCCTCTGGCTATTTCACAGTTTGCCATGGAAAAGCCACCCATTTTTAATAGGTAAACCATCTATAAATGGGCAATTTCCCATGGCTATGTTAAATAACCAGAGGGTATATCTACCATAAACCATCTATTAAACCATCTATTTCTATGGTAAACCATGGTAAACCATCTATTTCGATTAGGGCCATCGAAAAACCATGGCAAACTGTTAGTCATGTCATAACCAGGTTGGGTAAATCCCTGGCTTTGTGAAAAATACCCGATTTCTGGGTGAAATGTCCCGATGTTTTTCGGTGAACCCTCCAGGTCTCCGACCAACCGCGGGTCCCACCTGCGGAAGGCGGCGGTGGCCCGGCGCCAAACGTGGCGGGTCAAAGAGTTTGATATGGCTATTGTAGATAGCTTTACGTATATGCATATGTAATCATATGTACGTAATTCTAGATTCAATTCTAGATTCAATTGTAGATACAGATATGTACATATTATATATATATACTATGCACTTCAAGGCTACGCCTTGAAGCTGTGATTTTGTAAAGGCCATCTCGAAAAATTGCACCACTGCACGACGGCAGCTGTGGGGATATCTAGAGGGGATGTAGCCAAGGGAATATATGGGGATACCCTCCAGTAAATCAACATAGACCCTGGCAAATAGGACTTGGAAGATTAGTTTCCATTAAAAATTGGTTATATTCAGGCTCTATGTTAATTTACCAGATGGTATAGCCAACACTACAGGATGTGGATTATTGTAGAAATCTGAGAACTGGTTTATCTCAGTCCTTGGGTTTCGCCAGATACAAAGTTCAACACGTCGGAGACATGGTAACCACAAAACTTAATTATGGATCTTTGGTTCTTGCTAGTTGCCCAATGGTTGGTGATTTCAAGCATCCAAATGTGTATATATATATATATACACATATCGTATGTATATATATATATGTGTATGTATATATATATATATTATTACATATATATATATATATGTATACACACAGTACATGTATATGTCAATCTTCACAGTCATAAGAGATGGAAAGTGACAAGGTGTTGCAGCGACCAAACCAGGATAAATATGGATAAATCCCGCTTATAGCCAGTGAAATCCGGTTTATTTCATCAGTTACCCTTTGGTAGTCAAACATGACAACGGAAAATCCACCATTCATAGATTCGTTTCCCATTCGAATGTCAAGAACATTGCGGGAGTTCCCTTTCAGAGGTCCCATTGCTGTGTTGGACAAAGCCGGAAGTGATAGTGAAGCAATAATGTCCTTTTGGTTAATCCCATCTATCATCATGTCCCTGTTGTCTTGTTAAAGGGGTAAACCTTCAAAGCCCTCTGAATCTATTCGAATCAACCAATGGGAATTTAAGGGACATCGGTGATGTGAAGCCCATGGATGTTTATGATCCCATAGGTTCCCAGGAATGCTGGTGATTACCACAACCTCAGGACCTGGTTGGTTCATAGAGGGGATTCGGGATTAAGGGCCCCATAGGAGTGGGAAACCGTTTTCAACCAACTACCCTCTGGTTATGACTAACATAGCCATGGAAAATAGCCCATAGAAATAGATGATTTTCCCAGCTAGAAACCTCCATTTATGGTTGGGATTTTCCATGGCTATGTTAGTCATAACCAGATGGTAGTATAATGAGATGGGATAGGAGTATTTGTAGTGGCTCACATGAGCAGTGTGAAATAGCCATCCCTCTGTCATGGAACCAGGAAATACTGCGTAGTTTTTGAACGGGATTCCCAGTTCTTGAATTACAATCCCCAATAGATAAAGGGTAATATAATCCCCAACTAATCATCAACCAACCAGGGTTTTGAACACTGCTCACATGTGATCAATCATTGACTGGACAATACCAACCGTTCCCATCTATAGATGTTCACATATATCATTGCCATAGATAGTTCGCAAATAAATCATTCCCCCATATGTATATATATATATATTGTCGAGACCAGATATATTATTACCACATATCATTGATAACCAGATATACAGTTGAACATTGGGAACATATGACATATTTAAGAGATTATAACATATTTCCCTGTGGGAAATTCACAGTTCGACCCAGAAAATAACACATTTTTACTGGCAACTAATCTTCCAACTCCGAAATATGCCAGGGTCCAGCTGTGAATTTACCAGAGGGTAGAACATGTAATCATAAGATTGTTGTCTTCCAACCCTCTGGTTTATCATATTACTCTTTACCAGAGGGTATAGCAAGCTATGTAATCTTCGAACCCTCTGGTTATATCAAAGGCCATTTCAGGAACCTAAATTGGAGGTACCTACCATATATAAGGCCTATGTAAGGCCTATGTAAGGGGATATACCCCCAAAATATGGCCTTAAATGGTACAGTACCTCCATTTCAGGATCCTGGAATTCCCATTGATTATACCCTCTGCTACAATCCTAACGGTTGATCAACCAGCCATAAGATTCACAGATTCCGAACAGATCACCAAACAGCGACCTCATCTGCGGTGGCGCGACGGAGATCCTGTAAATCTTCAGCTTGGTGCCTGGAGTCAAGACACTTGAAGGCTTGTCATGATATATCTATTGTAGATATATCTATATCTACTAAAGATATATCTATATCTATTAAAGATATA